GAAAGATGGTGTCCGCCTGCGTTCCTGCGTGGACGGTGTGGTTGTTTGGTGCAGGCCTGTGGGACGACGTTGGAGCACATGGTGCTGCGGCCATCGACGATGGGAGTGTCGCGGCCTCTGTCGGCTGCGGCAAAGCCACTGCCGACCCATGTGGACGTGGCTATTGTCGGAGGTGGGCTTGGCGGCCTGCTGCTGTGCGCCGGGCTGAGGTGAGTGAGTGTGGCCGGGAGAGGGGAGAGATACCCTTCTTCCTGTGTGATGATGGTCTCTGTGTGTATGTGTGTGTGTCAGATGTCGTGGCATCGACGCCCATGTGTTTGAGCGTGCCCCTGCTCTGAGAAATGCATCGCAGGTCAGCCAGAGACAGAGAGAGAGGGAGAGAGAGAGGGAGGTGGGAAGGACCCGTTCCAGTGTTGATTGTGCCGTGTGTGCAGGGCATGTTCACGGCCTCCACGAACGGAATGTGTGCAGTGAGGCGGGTGAAGAGCGACATTGCAGATACCATGTTGGCCTCTGGCGTCATGGACCCGACCACAGCCATGCATCAACGCATGCTGGGGAGGAGGTACACTTACTTTGATATGTGCACACATACCCATCCCTGCTGTATGTCGGGGCTCATCCAGGTCAAGACAATCCGCGTCGACCGGAAGGGCAAAGGCGAGGTGTCCATCCGCTGGACCAAGGCACAGAACATCTTCGCGTCCCACGTGCCCGACGAGGTCATCCACTGCAGCTGCGGCGGTCGCGACTTCACTGAGGACGACACCGGCGCGACACTCGTGTTCGAGGGCAGGAACGAGCAAGTCAGGTCAGTGTGACCGACCATTACACGGCAATCACCCCAGCCGTGGCCATCTTGCCCTGTGAATGCACTTACCTTCCAGGGCCAAGATGATCGTGGCTGTCGACGGCGCTTTCTCGGCCCTCCGGCCCCAGATCTTATCGCGGCATCGTGAGAAGCGCGACGGCGTTAAGCAGGTCACGAAAGACGGCGGCCAGGGATCGGCTGCTGCGGCGCTGATGATCGAGGACCCGCCCAAGTACCATGGCTTCCTCAACTGGAACGCACTCGTCAAGAAAGAAGTAGGAGCCGGCGGGCCCTGTGGACGGACGCCCCTCTACCAGTGAATATTCATAATCTGGTACTTGTTGCGTTGCAGGACATCGCGCGCTACGCCGAGTCCGCGGGCGTGCTGCTGCCCTACACAGAGCGCGGCATGTTCATTGTCACATCAGACTGCCCGAACGTGCTTGCGTTTATCGTTGATGTCGGCACACACGTCTTCTGGCAGGTGGGTGACCCACGCACTCGCACACATAGACACAAAGCCCTCGAATCTAACATCTGTGTGTTTGTGTTCAGATCCGAGTGCCGGAGTCGTCCAAGGCCGGTCACCGCGCGGTTGCGGGCCGCCAAGGGCTCAAAGAGCACCTCCTTCGTGGCCTGCGTGACGCCACTGACCTGGCAGTGCCCATCGGCCAGGAGGCGGAGAAGCCGCAGATACCGGCCGGTGAGACGCAGCCCAACATGTCGGAGATCATTTGCATGGTGGGGGCCACACCGGAGGAGAAGATCTACGAGCGGTGCATCTACGGCAGGGCCGCCACATCAACCATCACCACTCCAAAGGTACCAGTGGCCTGCAATGAGAAGATGCTCGATGGCCTGACTATGTATGTTCGTTCGTTGACACACAGGGCCGCGTTATCATGATCGGCGACGCCGCCCATGCGCCCTATCCTGGACCCGGCCAAGGGGCCAATATGACCTTTGAGGACGTCAGCGTGCTCATCGACATGTTCGAGAAACACGTGCCAAACATTCGGGCACCGAACACGGCCACCGTGAGCAACCGCGACCTGACGAACGGCACTACCCACAAACCAGGCAAGATTGACCGGCGGACAGAGGGGAAGAAAGCGACTCAACCGATCGCCATTTTCGTTCTCTTCCTATGTGAATGTCTGCAGATCTGAATGGCCACAGCAATGTAGAGTTGCCGGCCGTCGTGGTGCCCACGATCCTCTGCGAGTGCGAGTCCATCCGGCTGCCCCGCATGCAGTCGATGGTCTACTATGCGGACATCGCGGCGTGGCAGTTCCATACCCAGGCCTCCAAAGTCCCAACCGAGTGCTTGAAAGCAAGTCGGACGGCCATCTCGGGGTCGTCCACCCCGAGATCAAGGACTGCCGCACCAAGTTCAACGACTGGGTCAAGACGTTCCCGCCAGAGGGACCGCCGCCATCGCTGGAGCCGTTCGAGCCATTTGTGCCCAGGAAGGTGTTCAGGCCCTAGTCTACCCCGTCAAATACTAAACAGATGGATGGTCGGGATGCACGCACCCTGATACACTGCCAGAGTGGTATCTAGGAGTTTTGGGTGTGTTGTTGGGTTTGTTGAAGAGGATGTGTGTGCATATTTATTGCTTGGAAAAGGCAAGGTTGACTCTGTGTGTGAGATACTCATCTGTGGCGGTGCGGCTCTCTCTCTCTCTCTCTCTGTCTCTGTATGTGTGTGTGCATGTCTTGCTGGCGTGCCCTCTTTTGCTGCATGCTGTATGTATCGGCGATGCATGCTATGATAGCCAGTGCACCATCGATCCATCACCCTCTCGAATATCTGTCTGTTTGCAAACGCATATGTCAGCCGGCAGTTTGGGGTGTTTTACCGCCAGTTTGTTTTGTCCCATGCATTCATTCACTGATGTGTGGATGGGATGCAGTCCGTCTGTGGTGCGTACGTTTGTATGACCATCTTTGGCTCATCCTGGCGAGCAGGCAACCAGGCAGCAGGTAGGGAGGCATGGTGGTGTTTTGTGTCTGTCTGGTTTTGTGCTACAAGTGGGCTCTTTCTTCTTCCTTGCCATGGGTGTGAGTGGTGTCAGTCACGTGTGCGGAAGGGACCTTTATTGCGTCCGTCGTGATCCATTCAGCGGCACATTTATACTAGCACCTCTTGCACCATCGATCGACTAGCCGCCTAATTTACTTGGGGCGTTTTTGCGATGAATGAATCCTTCCTTGCATGTGGCGAATGCGTAGGTCCGTTGTTCCATGCTGCTGCCTGAAGTGAAGTGCAGCCATCCCGCCGATCTTGCGCAGTCCTGTTTCCCCCACTCCCTCCCTCTGTCATCGTGGATGTCTTTATGCAGCCTACCGCTCATATTTCACCTGGTCGGTCTTTATGAGTGATCCATCCGGTGTCCGTGTGTGCGGGAGGGGTGGCTTTATGGCTGGAGATGGATGCATTTTGCCTGGATGCCAGGGGGCTATATCCGAGTTTTGTGTGTCGAGCGGGTGAATGTTCGTCGGACTGCTGACCTGTTCTGGCTGCCTTAGACCGGGCTCTTCGTCGGATGGGGCCCTGTGTGTGGTACGTCCGTGTTTGAGAGAGGCGAGGGGGGCTCTGTGTGTCTGTGGGGCGAGGTTTGTGCACTCCGTAATACGCACGTTTGTGTGGCTGTCTTTCATCACTCTTGCTGGCAACCATGAAGGCAGGCAGGCAGCCTTGGCATTTGGTGTGTCAAGTGTGTGTGACCTTCATTGCTGTCTGTATCTGTTGAGCTTTGTCCGCCGTGCGATGTGACCCAGGGAGAATGGCACGTTTATCCTAGCACCTATTGCACCATCGACCAGCCGTCTTACCTAGGGCGTTCCTCTGAAGGCGAGCGAATGCGTTTTGGTATAGGCAGTCAAGTTTTTTGTAAGAGAGCTCAAAGTATATATGCAGTGTTCTTTGGTCTTTGTATATACGCTGCGTTGCCGACATAGTCGGTCTGTACACGTCCGCGTCTCCTTGCACCTAGCTCTGTCTCTGGCTTGTCACCGTGGCGTGCGTGTCATGGTTGATGTGGCAAATTCTCCACACGCGCCATGGGACGCAGACTCTGGTGACAGGGGGAAAGGCGTGATGGGGTCGGGTCAGTCAGCTTGGATGGGTGTATGTGCTTGAGGGTGTGGCACGTGGTGGCGCTCGACCAGCCAACTTTATCTGTATGGTCCATGTGTAAGTGCACTTACGTGTGCTTGAGCTCCGTGTTGCTCGCCATTTATGCAGCAGTGCCCGAAGGGCCGCCATGACGATTGACAAAATATATGATGACGGTGCATTAAACGAAGATGGCAGCATCAAGTACGTAGCCCTCACAAGTCGCTCACACATCAATGCGATCAGGGTAACAAACCCTGTTACCCCGAAGCCTGGACCCATTTCGTCTGCCAAACAACAAAAAGACGTAGTTTGTTTTCATTGAACGGTGATGAGAAGTGGCCTCTGTCGCGTCCAAGAATGAGCATGACAAAGCACGGCGTGGCCATCCTATGCGTCTTCCTGTCAGTCACTCTTTTTCCTCATGCTGCCAGGGCATTCGCGCCGCCTCTCTCCAACCACGCCCTTCAGCCACACCAAGTGAGCACAAACACACGCCGCAGCCGACGCATCTGGTATTGGGAGTGATCTCTCTCTCTCTGTGTGTGTGTGTGTGTTTGTTCAGGTGCGCAGGACGACGGTCAGCTCCTCGCGTGCGTCCCGGAGAGGCCTCCACTTATACATGCAGGATGTCGCCACCCTGAAGAAGGTGAGTCGCACAGGGAGAACTAGAAAGCGAGATTATGTTCACTTGTCTGGCTGGCTGGCTGTCTGTGTGTGTGTGTGTGTGTGCTTTTGTTGCTTGACTTCAGGCCACGTTGAGGAAGCCAACGACGGTCGGCGTGCCAGTGGGTGAGCGTGGCAGGCTGGGCGACGAGGGCGAGTTCGGCAAGAAGGAGGGTGAGGCATCGATCGTCTTCATCGCGGGCTTCGAGTCATTCAACCTCGCCCTCTACCGGGAGGCGGCCCGGAGGATCAAGGAGGTCAGTCAGACGCTACGCTCGAGTGGATGGGTGGCATGACATACAGGTGTGTCTGTGTCTGTCTGTGTCTGCCGTGTGCAGGTCTGTCCGTCTCTGAAGGTCCATGTGATGACTGACCGCGACGTGGCTGGCCGGCCTGACGATGTAGCTGCCGCCCTCCGCACAGCAGATGCCGTCTTCGTCTCGCTTATTTTCGACTTTGACCAGGTCGGCGCGACACACATATACACAGACACGGAAGATGCATGCCGAATTCCATCCCTCCCTCCCTGACGCTTACCCCATCTGTTGTCCTTCCCATTGATTGTCCACAGGTGACGTTCATTAAGGACCGCATCGGTCATATCCCCCTTCGGATGATTTTCGAGTCGGCCCTCGAGCTGATGAGTGAGACCAGCGTGGCGTCGTTCAACATGAAGGGTCGGGGTGAGGGCCCCGCCGGCCCCCCGCCGGCCGTCAAGGCCCTCCTGCGGCAGTTCGGCAACAAGCGGGAGGAGGACAGGCTAGCGGGCTACCTGAATTTCCTCAAGGTCGGGCCCAAGCTGCTGCAGTACGTCCCTGGTGACAAGGCCAGGGACCTGAGGAGCTGGCTGGAGATCTACAGCTACTGGAACCAGGGCGGGCTGGAGAATGTCGTCAACATGTTCCTGTACATCGGCAGGAACTTCCTGCTGCCTAAGGAGAAAGTGCCGGCGCCTGGTAGGCGGCAAGTGACAGGACAGAGAGAGAGAGAGAAAGAAGGACAGGTGTATTATGCCTGGGGTGGGTGCGTTGACATTCCATGGCTGTGTGTGTGTGTGTCTGTAAGGCGCCTTGCGCGAGACGCCCACGGTGGGCCTGTATCACCCGTTTGCTGATGACTATTTCTCGACGCCGGCAGAGTACCTCAAGTGGTGAGCGCAGACACACCGAATGGCCTGATGCTGATCACTGACTGCCCTCATGTGTATGCCTGTGTATGCCTGTCTGTCAGGTATGAGTCCGAGAAGGGTTTTGACGCCGCCCTCGCGCCACCGGGGTCGCCGAGAGTCGCCATTCTGCTCTACCGGTAGCAAGACAAAAAGGGCTTTCTCTGCTTCCTGCCTGTCTGTGACCCCTCCCTCACTGCCCTTTTTTGTGTGTCATGGATCAGGAAGCACGTGCTGACGCACCAGAAGTACATTGACGTGTTGATCAGGAGCATGGAGAAGGAGGGCCTCACGCCGGTGCCGGTCTTCATCACCGGCGTGGAGGCGCACACCATCGTCAGGGACCTCCTCACGACATCGTACGAGCAGCAACAGAGAAACAGGTGAGTGACAGACAGACAGACAAACAGGCAGGAAGGAACAAAGAATGGAAAAGAATGTGATCAACATACATGTGTGTGGTGTGCTCTCTCTATCGTGTTGTCTTGCCCGCTTCCGCGCAACCAACCCAGGGGTGTGATCGCCAACGAGGGTTTGAGCAAGGACGCTATCGCAGTGGAGGCGATTGTCAACACCATAGGATTCCCACTTGTGGGCGGACCTGCAGGCTCCATGGAAGCCGGCAGACAGGTATGCATGCGCACATGCACACACGCACTATGTCTCTATTACCTACACGCAATCTGCTTGTTCATGGCGCGTGTTCTGTCACGGCACCAGACTGAGGTGTCGACCCAGCTGCTGTCGTCCAAGAACGTGCCCTATCTGGTGGCGGCCCCGCTGCTGGTTCAGGACATCCCCAGCTGGATGCGCAACGGCGTCCAGGGCCTCCAGTCAGTCGTCCTCTTCGCCCTTCCCGAGCTGGATGGGGCCGTCGACCCTGTCGTCCTGGGCGGACTCGTCGCTGACAAAATCGCACTTGTCCCCGAACGGTAAACAAAGACACGGACGAACCAACAGCCAGCAAGGGGTGTTCTCGCTCCACCCTCCCGTGTTGTGTTGTGCTGCATCTTGCCCTCAGTGTGCGGAAGCTTGCCGCTCGTCTCAACGGCTGGATTCGTCTGCGGAACACTCCGCCCAAGGAGCGCAAGATCGCCATCATCCTCTACGGCTTCCCACCAAACGTCGGGGCAACCGGCACGGCCGCGCTGCTCAACGTGCCCGACTCCCTCCAGGGCCTCTTGGAGCAGCTCAAGACACAGGGCTATGACCTGGGACCAGCCGTGGGGCCCGATGGCAAGGTCGACGGGGAGGCTATCGTGGCGGCTCTCAAGGTGCTGGTGCAGGACCCGTTGGTGCGCGCCGGTCCCAAGTACATGCGGAGTGCGATTGTGAATGCCGCCCGGGAGGAGAGCGCCCGCAGCCTGGTGTCGGGCCCTGCCCTCAACATCAACTCGACATGGCTTCGACACGCCCTCAAGGACGACCCCAACCTCATTAGGGCACAGGTGAGTGAATACCGAGTCAGACCGAAGAAACTGAAACATAGAAGGTGAGGCAGGCGATTTGTCTAACTATGTTTTCCCATCTGACACGCAGGGCATCACGTCAAAGCGGCTGCGTCGTGCGCTGCGTCCCATCCTGGCGTCGAAGGTGGAGAAGGGCTGGGGCGAGCTGGAGCAGGTCAACTTCATCGGCCAGAGCAGCGAGGGGGAGTTCGTCGTCCAGGGCGTACAGCTGGGCAACGTCTGGATCGGAGTGCAGCCCCTACTCGGTATCCAATGAGACTGACACGCTCATACACCGTCTGACAAAACGGTTGTGTTTTGTGTAGGTTTGGAGGGCGATCCGATGCGCCTGCTGTTCGAGCGTGACCTCACCCCTCACCCGCAGTATTTTGCTTTCTACGAGTGGCTCCGCACGGGACTTGGGGCGCAGGCCTGCGTCCACTTCGGCATGCATGGCACAGTAAGACAGACACACTAGACAGCAGAAAACAGCGCACACTCGTCCGCCCACCAGCTGCACATGTTCATAGTGCTTGCTTCCTCCCGTCAGGTTGAGTGGCTGCCCGGCTCCCCCCTGGGCAACACGGGCCTCACCTGGCCCGACCGACTACTGGGCGACATCCCCAACGTCTACATCTACGCCGCCAACAACCCGTCAGAGTCCATCCTCGCCAAACGGCGCGGCTACGGCACACTCGTCTCACACAATGTGCCTCCCTACGCACGGGCGGGTCTCTACAAGGAGCTGGCGCTGCTCAGAGACCTTATTGGCGAGTACCGAAGCGAGCCTGACAAGAACCAGGCTCTCAAGCCGGCGATAGTCGAGAAGGTGCGCTTGGTGGGGCTGTTCCAGGACTGTCCCTGGGAGGGCACCGACACGGCCGAGGAGGGCGTGCTGTCGACCGATGAGGCGGACAAGGTGGACAGCAAGGCTTTCGGCGACTGGCTCTTCAAGCTCAACGACTACCTCCTCGTGCTGGAGCAGCGGCTCTTCTCCGAGGGGCTCCACTGCCTGGGCCACCCCCCCTCCCAGAGCCAGATGCTTCAGTACCTGGAGGGCTACTTCGCCGAGGACCCCAACATGCCCCACCTGGCCCTCGAGCTCATCGCCAACATGACTCCCTCCCAGTCGGTCTTCGACGTGCTCCACCACCCCTCCATCAGGCCGCTGCTCACCCCGGCAGAACTCGCTCTGGACGAGGGCGTGCGTGTGGCCGACCTGACCCCCGCAGACAAGTACCAGGCGTCTCTCCAGGGGCTCGACAAGCTGTCCTTCGGCGTCCGCCGGTTCTTCGGCGATATGGGGATGAAAAAGGTCAAGGACGAGGTGGACCTGGAGGTGCAGATGGGCACTGCCTCTGGTGCCAACATGGCCTTGAGCAAGACGCGGGCAGCCGAGATGCAGCGGCGAGGGGTGGGAGTGGAGGGCCGGCCTGTGTCTGAGACTGAGGGGGGCGGGATGGGGATGAGGGGGCGGATCGAGGAGGCCATGGAGATACGCAAGCTGCTCATGAGGAACGAGGAGGAGCTCTCGGCCGTCGTCAGGGCACTCAACGGCGAATACATCAGACCAGGTGACGAACCAACGCAAAAGAGGAGGCAGAACGCATCGCAGCATCACACACACGTGTGTCTCTCACTCATCCATGGTGTTATCAGCTCCTGGAGGAGATCTTCTGAGGGACGGGGCGGGTGTGCTGCCCACTGGCCGCAACATCCACGCCCTCGACCCCTACAGGATGCCCTCACCGGCAGCCGAGCAGCGCGGCAAAGTCGCTGCCGACAAGATCCTCGAGGAGCAGAAGGGCGCAGGGGGCGTGTTCCCCGAAAGCGTCGCTGTCACTCTCTGGGGCCTTGACGCGATCAAGGTGACTTGACACACTCGTCACCAACACTCTCATACAGAAACAGTATGTATGTATGTTGTCTTGGTGCAGACGAAGGGCGAGAGCGTGGCGATTGTGTTGGCTCTAGTGGGTGCGCGGCCCGTCAAGGAAGGCACCGGGCGGATCGTCAAGTTCGAGCTGATACCTCTGGAGGAGCTGGGCAGGCCGCGGATCGACGTCCTCTGCAGTCTGTCGGGTATCTTCAGAGACACGTTCGCCAACGTCGTGGACCTCCTCGACGCCCTGTTCGAGCAGGCCGCAGAGGTACACACACACACACACACACTTGTGTGTGTGTCGTAGATGCGTCCAGAAACATGATTCATTCTGCCCTGGTTGGTGTATCAGGCCGATGAGCCGATCGAGATGAACTACATCAAGAAGCACGTGCAGGAGCTGCAAGCCAAGGGCATCGACCGCCCCACCGCCCGGCTCTTCAGCAACCCCGCAGGCGACTTCGGCTCAATGGTCAACGAGCGGGTGGGCAACGGCGAGTGGGAGGATGGCAAAGAGCTGGGCGACACCTGGGCGGCGCGAAACGGCTTCTCGTTCGGCCGCAAGACCGAGAAGGGCACGGCGCGTCCCGAGCTGCTGCGCGAGCTGCTGAGTTCGACTGAGCGGATCGTGCAGGAGATTGACAGTGTGGAATATGGCCTGACGGACATCCAGGAGTACTACGCCAACACGGGTGCGCTCAAGAAGGCAGCGGACAACGCGCGGGAGTCGGCGGGCAAGAAGGGCAAGGTCAAGGTGTCCATCCTGGAGTCCTTCTCAAAGGCCGTCGAACCGAGAGACCTCGAGCAGACACTGAGAATGGTCAGTCCAGTGGCCAGCGCAACCTACACAAGATGGTCCTGTCGTCCATCCATCCATCCATCCATGTGTGTGTGTGTGCGTGTGCAGGAGTACCGCACGAAGCTGTTGAATCCCAAGTGGGCTGAGGCGATGGCCAAGCAGGGCAGCGGCGGGGCCTACGAGATCAGCCAGCGCATGACCGCCCTTGTGGGCTGGGCGGGCACCACTGACTTTGCTGAAGACTGGGTCTACGATGGAGCCGCTGAAAGGTCACAAGAGACAGACATTCATTCACACGAGCCCGAAGAGAGAGAGAGAGGGGGGGAGAGTGGCAGCAGGTAATTCCTTTCTAAATCTTGGTGTGTGGGTATGGCGGGGCGTGGTGCTTGCCTGTGTGTTTAGGTATGCGATGGACGAGGCCATGGCCGAGAAGCTGCGGAAGGCCAACCCCGAGGCGTTTCAGAACGTGCTGCGTCGGATGCTGGAGGCTAATGGCAGGGGGTTCTGGAAGGCCGACGAGAAGACCCTCGACAAACTGAGGGAAATGTACAGCCAAACGGAAGACGAAATTGAGGGTGTCAGGTGGGAATGAGATGAGATGAACGGGGGATGATGTGAGAGGCAGGCATGGTCTGTCGAGCGGGGGAGGGAGGGAGGGACCTGTAGAGCAGCTACCTTATCGAAGCTTGAGGGTATTTGTCAGTGGTTGACGCGACTGGTGAGATGAGATGAGGTGCTCTGTTGCTTTATCAGTGGCGTGGCGACAAATGTAGTCCAGCAGTGAAGTCAGCGGTCTGTCTGTAATGGGGAGGGAGGGGTGGGAGACCAAGCGAGGGCAGGGATATGATGAGAGAGTGAGTGCTCCGATGAGAGACACATACACAGACACAGAGACCCATTCCATGCACGCACACGCACGCCACATAGCAAGTGGCGGGCGGACGAGACGCCTCAGGCGCTCGTCGTGTCTTTTTCCGTATTACACTCTACATATGAGAGATTTAGGGCAGAATGGTGATAAGGGAGACGGGAGCTCGGCCGAGTTTTTCTGTGTTGCTACTCGAGGTGGTGCGTGAGCGACGCGAACCAATGAGTGACGATGAATGAAGCCATCCTCGAGGTTACTCTGTCGTGTCCCTCAACACACACACACACACACACACATAAACACGCGAACGGTCAGATGAGATGGACACACACACATGGGCAGGGGCAGGGGAGAGTCAGCATCTCACAGTACGCAGAGACCAATCTCAGGTGTATGTCAAACCGACAGACACATCAAACTATCATCATCATCAGCAGCACACCACACCACAGCGCAGCACGGCACAGCACAGGTTGATGCAGTCAGTGTACACCAACAGATGGGTAATGATGGACGTCTGTACGTCTGTCTGTCTGTCTGTCTCAGCGCCCTTTCCCCTCACCGCGTCACATCAGCCGACGGCCACCGGACGGCAAAAGCAGCAGTGCCTGCTCGACTGCTACTCTCGGCGTCTGGAGACCGGTCGGGAGAGAACGTAGGAAGGAGGAAGGTCGTCAACGTACGTCGTTCTCACGTGAGAGGTTCACTCATAGGCTATGCTTGATTCGACCCAGCAAAAGAAGAAAGACATGACGGGCGGTGTGTATGACATGAACATGACAGACAACTAACTGCACACGGCGAGATGGATGGATCAAACTGAAAAGCTTCACGACACGACACGAGCCTGCCTCGCACGTCAGTCACCTCTCTCCCCCGCCACTCCCTCTCTCCCCCCGTGTGTGTGTACGTGTACCCCTCCCTTACCCCATTCAGCAAAAATCCCTTTAATCATTCCCAAGAGAGTGAGTGAATGAGAGAGTGAGTGAGTGCGAGTGAGTGTATTCCCTTATCGACGGCAGTATGCAGACCCGCCCACCCTCAGCCCCCCCCTCCCCCTAGCCCACCCTGCCCTAGCCTGGTACACAGCCGCGGCCAGATAAAAGCGCGAGACGTATAGTGGGACCGCCCGCCACATAGAAGAAGCCACAGGCACCGACATGAGTGAGAGAGTAAGTGGCGACTGGTTGTGTGGTTGGGTGGGTTTGATGCGTTGATTTGATGCGCGAGCGGGGAGGGAGGGAGGGAGGGGAGGAGGGAGGGAGAGGGCGACCAGTGAGCGAAGCGAGTGCTTTGAAACGACCTCAGACACGTGAGCATCTGCCATCCATCCATCCATCTCAACCCACACACAGGCAAGGGGCACAGCACAGCACAGCACAACCATACAACCCACCCAACCCGCACGTGCTCTCTCTCCATAGCCATATCTCAGTCAGTCACGCGTGCAGTGCAGTGCAGGCAGGCAGGCAGGCCGTATGGCCATATGCACCTTCATTCATTCTGGATGGTATCAACGGGCCTGAGGGCAGCCAGCGAGGGTGGGTGGGTGAGTGATGACGCGACGCGCGCGTCCCCTCCGCGTGTTAACGGAGCGCCTGCCACGGCAGCCATCCCAACCCACCCCGACTCCCGCCCCCACCTACACCTACACACACACACACGCACGCACACACACACACATGCACGCAACGCAAGGCATGATCCCCTCAGCCATCCATCCATCCGTCCATGAACAAATTCTTGGCTCGCGGCCCACGCCGCTCACAAGAGAGAGCCTCAGACAAAAATCCGCGGACACCCACAGGACAGGCACACACATGTACCGTACAGACACAGCTGGGAGGGTGAGATTGTTTCGACAAGTAAGTGAAGAGTATGGTCCCTTCGGGACGTATGAACGAATGGGGTGTGGTGTCAGCCAGTGATCCTCCAGCAAGCCGACCGACACGCAGCACCAACCATCTCAAAGTGATGAGCAATAATCTGTGTGGGTCCACAGCGCCCCCCGACCCCTCAAGACACACACACACACACACGCACACACAGTCTCTCTGGTCTCTCTCTCTCTCTCTCTCACTCACAGATGCAGGCAGAGAGACAGACAGACAGACAGACAGAAGAGAGAGAGACGGAGGAGGGACTATACACACAGGTGAAGGTGAAGGTGAAGGAAACGAAGATAAGCAAGGCAAAGCAAGGCAATGTCCCGTCTTGTCCTGTAGGACACTTGGTTGATCGATCGACAGAGCGGCAGAGCGAGGGAGGAGAGAGAGGAGGGGAGGCGACTGCATAAAGGTGCCTTCCCTCCCCTCCTGCCTCCTTCCCCTCGCTCGCAGAAAAATGGGCTGCCGACAGAGCTTAGCATACGGATGATGCGCCGCGCACAGACAGACCCTACACTCAACACAATAATACAACAATGCCAACGCAACACACATGGACATAAAGTAAGGCGTGCACGTCGCTCATTGGCTTCTCTCGACAGCCGGCCGGCCGCCCGAGGGAAAGGCAAAAATGAGCGACCGGGCGCTCTCCGGCACACACACACACGCCCATATAAAGACACACACACACACACACACACATTGACATGGACACAGCAGCTTGAAACTGTCGCAGCAAAGCAAGGAGAGACCAAGAGACACACACACAAGGGGGCGAACTCAACGCACGCGCCCAGAAAAATGCTGCTACGCCCTGCATGGTATGCAATAAGATGTCACTCTCCATCCTGTTGCTGCTGTCTGCTGCTGCGTCGTGCTGTTTGAAAGACAGACAGACGCCCATGAGTGTGTATGTGTGTGTGTGTGTGTGCACCGGAATGCGTGGATGCGTGTGCCGTCGGTGCCGTCGGCTTGAGGGCAAGAAGAAGCAAGGCAACACCACACCAGACCACACCACACAGCACCACACACACCAAACAACCGGCCGGTGGCGAACGCAACGCAACGCCAAAACACGGGGGATGGATGGATGCATGAGCTCTTTGAAAGACACAGACTGCTCTCTCTCTCTGTCTCTCTCTGTCTCTCTCTCCCCGCCCCCCCGCCCCCAATCTGTCTGTGTGTGTGGGGGGGGGTGGGCAAGGGCCAGCTGGGGAAGCACACAAGCAGTAAGTAAGATTAGCATTCATTAAGGCAGCGCTAAGACAGCACAGTCAGTCAGTGATCACTCGAGTGTCTCCATGGAATGGAGAGATGCATGTATGTGTGTATTGGGCGTGAGACATGAGCGTTAAACAAACCACACGGGAGCGGTGCCCGCCTTGCTGCGCAGACATTGATCATGCAGTCATGGTCACATAGACACACACACACACCACACACACAGAGGGAGGGAGAGATGGATGGATGATGGGGCAAAAAGTGGGCACCCCATTCTGTCTCTCTGTCTCTCTCCGTCTCCCCCTTTCCCCTGCCGCGTGTGTAAGGGTATGTGTGTGTGTCTGTGCGTGTCTGTACAAGACGCGGCGGGCACGCGCAGCGGTAGTAGTAGTATCAAAAAAGGTCGATAGGGCAGAAAGGCAGAATACACACGGGAGCTTCACAGTTGGACAGCGGCGTGGCCACGGACTGGACTGAGGGAAGAGTGGACGGGCAGTAAGCAGTGGGTGAGTGAGCAGAAGAGAAAAATCCCCGAGGACACGCAGCTAGCTTGTAGGTGAAGATGCTGCCTCTCTCTATGAGCGTCATTCTCGGGTGTTGTGGTCGTCTTGGAGAGGTATCCTCTGCGTGTTGGGGGCTGCCAACACGCAGGACACCTCAATGAGCACCACAGCACACGAGAACAATCTCCCCGCAGAGGTAACCGCAGCGGATCGGTACAGCGTCCCTCCTCCCCCTCTCCCACTCACTGCCCCGCCACCTCCACCGTCACACACGTGCTCGTGGTCGATGCAGCCACCCCATCACAGCCATCTCCAGCCACCGCAGCAGTGGCCAGCTTGGTGGTGGTGGTGGTCTTGTCGACACCGTGGTGTTGGTGTTGGTCGTCTTTGCTGAGTGCGGGTGGGGTGGCGTCGCCCTTGCCCTGGATGTGCTCGCGGATCTCGGGGTCGGACTCCATCATCGACACAGCGGCGGGGAACAGCGGCCAGATGCGCTCAACCAACAGCCAGTTGGGCGCCTGCATGAACGAACGAACATGCATCACGTCACGTAGGCACGCACACACAGTGAGGGAGTGGATCCGTCGAGTCGTGAGCTTCTTGCGCCTCCCTCCCTCCCTGACTCACCGGCTGGCTGTCTGTGGCGGCCCTGCCCCTGCCAGCACACTGCTGCTGCGTCGCCGCCCCATCGCCGCACCCGCACACGCCGTCGCCCACAGTGTACCTCCGGCCCCTCGCGCGCCGATGAACAAACGCACTCCCCCCACTGTCGGCGGCGTCGCTCTGCGACAGCACGTCGCTCTCGGACTCGACCTCGATCTCGCTGTGGGTCTCACAGGTGCTGCTGCTTGAGAGGGTCGTGCAGGTGGGGGACGCAATCGACGGGGCCTTGCTGCTGCTGCTGCTGCTGCTGGTGGTGGTGGCGGTGGTGGTGGGGGGTGAGGGTGCCCATGGTGGGAGGGATTTGGGGAGGGAGGCCTTGAGGGACTCGATGGCGGTAGCCGACTCGTGCTTGCCCAGGATCCACGCGGCCATGTCGATCTTCGAGAGGAACTCATCCAGCTGCACCGCACAGCGCAGCACAGCACAGCGCCCCACATGGTACGTACGCACCAGGTGTGATTCTGTCTGTCTGTCTGCTGCTTCTGTCTGTGTGTCTGTGTGTCCAGTTGACCTTGTTTTGTATGATGCGTCTGAGGAGTGGGTCGTTCTCGACGTCGCCAGTGGCGTGCGATGCGTCGCCCTGCATGCCCACGATGAACGTTGCCGCCACACGAGAGACGTACACAGATGACAGATACAAGACGCTCGGGAACACATCACCTGACACACACAACACGGCAACAAGGCCGGCAGGTGCGTCTCGAATCAAGTATATAAGGGCCCTCCCCTCTCGGCTCTTCACACACAAGACTCTTGAGGGGTCGCTCCCTCCCTCTCACCGTTGGCCTTTCTGCTCTGCAGGACGCAAAGGTACTTGCTGTGCCGCCTCACACACTCGCGGATGCGCTCCCGCGTGGCCTCGGGGACGTCGCAGCACTCCCCACACATGGAGGTAATGGAGCTCAGGGGGCGGCCGATGAAGGCAAACTCGTCGTACCTGACACACAACACAGAGACACTCGTAAACAACGCACACGCACCCCAACCAAACCCCACCCCTCGCCGCACCGTACAGGGCAGTGCGCACCCACCCAGCCACCACACTCACTCACCCAGTCATTTTGGTGTAGCCGGGGGAGCAGCCGATGAGGGGTGCGTCTGGCCTGCGCGGATCAGAAACTATGAGGGAGAACTTGATCCCGCAGACCTGCATTTCGTTCCGCACAGTCAGAGGTAGCACAGCCACACAGTGTGTCTGTGCCCAGTGTGCCGGCAGCCGCCCTCCTGTACGTACCTTGGGGAGGTGCTCTATGGCGTGTTCGATGACCCATCTGTTCTGCACACCGGGGGAGGGCAGCCTCTCGCCAGGGCTTCTCCGCATCACACGCCGCAGCGGCAGGCTAGCGCACCGCCGAGGGAAGAGACCCTCCCTGTTCGTCATGGCGAAGTTTCGCGTGGCTCCCTCCCGTCTTTCTCCCTCGCTGTCACAAACCCTATAACCCATACCCTGCAGCGACTCAGCCAGCCTCCTGTGTAGATCTTGCTTTGACGTGCTTCACAGCCGCTCACACGTCGATTAAGTCGAATCGAACAGCGAGAGAGGGAGACGGCGCTAGCTGAGACGCGCGGGCCCCCACGCCGCCCCAGAGAAGGATGTCGGGTGCAGGTGTTGACATGATAAGCGACGTCTGGGAGGCCGGAGACTACCTCTGTAACCAATATGCAAACACGGCACATGATGCAGTTTCATGCATTGCACAATTCATGAAATGCCGCTCTGCTCTGTCTGCGTTCTGTTGTGCATCCCTTGTCTGTCTGCTCAGGTAATGCGGTGGTGAGAGAGGTCACCAGGCCCAGTGTCGACGGCATCGGCAGGATCAGCCAGCACATCAAGCAGGCCGCCAACCAGAAGAGCTTCCGCGAGAGCTATGAGGCAGAGCAGGCCGCCATCCAGGAGCTGCGCGACCAGTTCCTGCGGTTCCAGCTCGAGGAGGAGCGCCGCTCACTGGAGACGGCTCACAACCAGCACCGGATCGACAAGCGCGAGAAACACCTGTTCATGAGCATCGCCACGTCAGGCAGCCTCACGGAACTCAGCAGCCACCTGCCGCCGTTTCTCTCCCACCTCAGCCGCACCCTCGGCACCACCGGCACCTATCTGGCGGAGATGAGACAGAGGGAGGGGGAAGACGTGCTGGCTTACTTTGCCGCCTCCAGGGGACAGGAGTTCCTCATCGGCCAGGTGCTGTCGCGGAGCCAGGGGGTGGCCTGGCGTGTGCTGGAAGAGGGCGAGGGCGAGGGCGGTGGAGAGGAGGAAGGCGAGGCAGCCCCCGACGCCCTTGCTTTGGCCCAGAGGACCGAGGCCCTCGACCGCTCGGACAAGGACGTGCCGATCCTCCGTGTCTTCCACGCGCTGGACCTCCCGTCCCTCCACTTCTTCCGTCTGTCCCGGCCCGGCGAGTTCTTCGCCCTTCCCGTGGTCTTTTCGGGCCCTCCGTCGCCCCCCCTGGTGAAGCATCTCACCGCCTCAATCACCGCGGCCATGGACGCCCGTCTCAAGTTTGAGAGCGACATTATCGACGAGGAGCGTGCCAAGGAGGAGGCCAAGGAAGCGGCGCGGAGGGCTGCTGAAGCGGCGGCCACGACCGGCAAGGGCAAGAAGGGGGCTGCCAAGGCCAAGGCGGCGCCGATCCCCGAGCCACCCAAAGAGGAGGAGAAGGACGAGAAGGGACCGGAGAAGATCTTTGACTTCTTTGCCGATGCTGCGGTCTTCCCACCTCCCATGGACGGCTCCCCCCAGTGCAAGTGGGTGTTTTGCGGCGACACATGTGGCGACCAGCCGCGCTTTCGGGAGCCGCTGGCCACCTCGCCCACCGACACGGCCACCGCATGGAACCGGCGACTGGTGGAGGAGGGCCACACGGGTGCGCTGCTCGATGTCGACTCTGACCGGCAGCTGACGGACAGCCAGGTGTGCAAGGTGAGGAGCGCCGGCAGGTGGCTGATGGAGCACACCGGGCGAGCTGCCTTGGCCAGCGCCATGCGGACGGCGCGGATCACGGCTCTCATGCAGAGGGGGACGCTGCCGGACATCCTTGCTGCTACACAACAGGTCTGGGGCTCATGACAGCGACGGCAAGGATATGTGGGTGCTGAACGAGTATATAATGGCTGTGCTGTCTCTGTCAGGAGATGGAGGCCCGTGTGAGTGCGGTACGTCCGGCAGCTGTAGTGGCTCCCAAGGCGGCCCCGAAGGCTAAGGCCAAGGGCAAAGCCGCCAAGAAGGGCAAAGAGGAGCCACCACCGACGGCAGAACTGACGCCAGAACAGGAGCAGGTGAGAGACAAGGAGAGAAAGAGAGATATGCAACGAGTGCAGTTGTTGATGCACTCGTATGCTGCAGGAGATTCGCGAGATCCAGCTGCAGTCACACCGGACCACTCTCGAGCAGACCGTCAAGTCGCTGCTGCTAGCATACAGGTCAGATCAGACGCTATCAACAGATATCTATGGGATACACATGGTATGTGTCCTTTGTTCAGGCCAGGCGAGCAGGTGGGCTTCCCTGCTTCATGTGCCCATCTGTTCGAAGGCCTCTTCACTCTCGCTGGGCTGCCCCTTGCCGTCTACGCCGCATCTGTCGACGCTACTGGTAAGCGAAAATTGCCACCACACACTAGACGGACAGAATCAGCTTCTTGCGTGTTCAGGGCTTGTGTCTGATTCTGTGGATTGGCGGCGTGTGGAGGAGCTGTGGAGCGATGACGTGCTCAAGGGCATCCTCACCTTCGCCGTCGACCGCGTCGACCGGCCACTGTCACTCACACGCATCAAGGAAAAGCTCGGAGACATCAAAGTAGCCACGCCGGCGTACCCACTCGCACACACAGTCACCAAATGGATTGTGTGTGTGTGTGTGTGTGTGTGTGTCAGGCGGAGGAGTTGGATGAGGTGTATTTGCCGTGGGGTGTGTTGGGCCGCTGGCTCGCTGCCGTGGCCGAATGCCGACCCTACTACACCGCAAAAGCAAAGGACACTCTTGCTGAAGTGAGTTGTGAATCTATGAGACACGAGACACAGAAGCAAATCGTCTCGATTCTCATGTCTGTCTGTCTGTCTGTCTGTTTGTCTGCCAGTTGTCAGACGTGAGGCTGTTGACGGTCGACGTGACGTACTTCGAGGAGGAAGCCGAGGCAGAGGAGCAGGAAGGACAAGCAAAGGAGGGCGCCGAGGCAGGTGAGTCACAAAAGTCACACAATCACACAGCCAGCCGGCCAGCTAGCATCACCATTGTCCATCCATCCACTGGCAGAGGCAGCGGCCGAGGAGGGCGAGGAAGGTGAGGAGGAGGAAGAATGCGAGGCCGAGCAGGAGGCTGAGAAAGGAGAGGCAGAGGAAGAGGAACCGACCGAAAAGCCTTTCAAACCACTCACACAAGGACACATCGACTTGTTTGTCGACCGGGCCTTCACCGCAGGTGGGTTTGGTTTGGTTTGCATTGCACAACAGAAACACCTCGCACACACTGCCCACCCTCTCCTCTCGTTGTTAGTCTCAGATGGCGGCCGTCTTGGCTCCGTGATGCTGCCACTGGAGGAGGCCGTGATCGACCCACCACCACAGCCAAACACAACCACACTCCTCTGGTGCCCGCTGGAACAGGGCGACATCTTTACTCCCTACGAGGGAGGGGACGAGATCATGAAGGAGCTCATCGCAGACAAGGCAGGCACATACCCACGCACCCATTCACTCAGTCACTCACTCACTCAGCACACCACACGGACGACACCCGTCTCCCTCGCTCTATGTCTCCCGCTTTTCTCAGGGCTGTCATCTCTTCGTGCTCGGTGACGAGCAAGGCAACGCCATCAATGCCCTCAATCGCACTTTCGAATGGAACCTGGTCGGAGCGCCTCTGCCGGCACCTGCACCGCCTGGCAGTGGCCAGCCTGCTGCCGCTGGGTGTCACGTGACGGCCGAGACGGTGCTGCAGTACCCGCTGGCCGCTCTGGGTGGCGGGGAGGGGGGGCTGGTGGAGGCAGAGCTGCAGACAAAGGCCGCCCTGCCAAACCCACAGTGAGGAAGGCTGTCTGTCTGTCTGTCTGTCTGAATGTCTCCGATACGTGTGAGTGCACCTGGGCGTGTTGTGTTATGTGTGCGTTTCAGCATCTACCCAGTTGTATCACGTCGGTGCTCCGCTCATCTCGTCGACCCCACCTCTCTGCCGGCTGACGCATCGGCACCTTTGACTCTCAAAGTGAATAGTCACACAGAAAAGGACGTGGCGCATACACGCACCCTCTCCCTCTCCCGCCCTCTGACAGGCGCTGGACTGTGCAGTGGTCCGGGAAGGTCGTGGGGAGGTCTGGCTCATCTCGTTCGACCCGGAGACGGCGCCCGAGAGTGTGCAGTCGCTGCTCGCCTCGATCCTGACGGCAACAGTGCTCAACAAGCGGCCGGTCAAGGGCAAGTTGAGGGGCGCTGCCGACCCGCAGGACTGGCTGGTGGGCGGCAAAGAGGGCATGCGACATCTCAAGAAGCTCGTCAACTACATGACATTCCCCAAAGGTGACTGACTGGCACAAGCCTCTGTGTGAATGGCGTCATCACTTCTTCCCACATCCGCTCTCACAGGCAAGAATCCCAACAGTGTAATGGAGCACCCCCCTCCAGCAAACTACAACGAAGAGGACGATGCCGAGGAGGAGCAGGAGGGGGAGCAGGAGGAGCCCGACGCCGATGCAGAGGCCGAGACTGAGCACGAGCAAGAGGAGGGGCAGGAGGGGCAGGAGGGCGACACATCCCCGTCAAAAAAGAAGCAAGCTGCTCCGCCGCCCGAGCCCTCGCTGAAGGAGAAGTTGCACAACGGTCTCGTCCATCTGTGGACGTTTGATGAGAGGAAAGATCGCAAAAAGGAGGGTGTCGAGGTGCCGTTGCCTGTAGCGGGCGAGGCCGCCGAGGGAGAGGATGAAGAAGGCGCTGCTGTGGTGCCAAAGGAGCCGAAAGACTTCTACTGGACCAGCTGGACGAGCGCTGCAGAGGTGATGATCACCACATTTGACAAAGAAAGAGAGAGAGACACGCCCACGCCATTCGACTCCTTCCATCAGGCCATTTGGCGCGGCTTGGACGATCCCCCTGTCGCCCCTCCGGGCCTCTTTGGCGGCGCCATCCGCCTCACCGGCCCCTCACACCACATGACAATAACCGACCTGCTTCCGCGCCCCTTCCCCCCTCACGACACACTCGAAATGGAAGATCTGTCGCTCGAAGGCATCGGCGGCGGCTGGACCATCGCCCTCTGGTTCAGGCCTGCAGTCAAGACGACGGAGAGCGAGCAGCGGCTGCTGATTGTCAGGGGGGTGGGCGAGGCAGACAAAGGCCTGGCGCCGCTGAATGGCTGTGAGGTGTGCGTCAACGGGCAGGAGCGGCTGGTGTTCCGGAGTGGCAAGAATGTCGGTGTGGCGCCTGAGAAGGAGGAGGAGCCTCCTGAAGAGGAGGAGAAAGAGGGTGAGGCCGAGGGGGAGGCCGACAAGGAAGGAGACGAGGGCGGCGCGGACGAACAGGAAGTAGAGGCCAAGGAGGAGGCCGCTGAGGAAGAGGTAGAAGCGGAAGCTGAGCAGGAGGAAGAGGTGGTCGTTGACCCGCTGACCGACATCATTGCAGACGAGGTTGGCTAACGCCCATCCATCTTCACTTCCACGCCTGTCTCTGCCTGTGCCTGTGAAGGACCGTGAGTTGATCGAGGGCACGTCTTTGGACTACGTGATGTTCATGGAGTGGAACTGCCTCGTCATCACACAGAAAGGGCCTTACAGATACCTCTACCTCAACGGTAAGTGAAAAGAGAAGATGCACACATTCAGAAAAGATACTTACTTCTACACACACGTCACACAGGTCGGTATCAATCCTCGTGTCGCCACTACATGGGCCCCAGTGCTATATCCACCTGGCACCAGGGCGACCCCCTGCCGCAGGAGGAGGGCAGCGAGCATCCACCAGGGCCGTCCATCCAGAGCCCCCTCCCCACTGGCCTCACTCTCGGCTGCCAAGCGGTGGAAGGCTGGAACGTGGCCTTCAAGGGTGACGTGTGCCAACTGGCCATCTGGGACAGACCCCTGCCGACCAAAGAGGTCCATGGAAGCAAGAAGACATGATGGACCTCACACAGAGGACATGTCTCTGTCTGTCTTCTTGGTCTCCCTTGGTCCCCAGAGTCGCGACCTGTTCATAGCGTCTCACGTGCGGTCCATCCTGCTTCCGCCGCTGTCGCCTCCCCGGCCACCCATCGTCACTCTCCTGCACGCAAACCCGCTGCTGCGCCTCTCCGCCGCGCAGAGCCTGGTGGCTCTTTTGCAGGAGCTGACCCTGCCGCTTGGCAGCCCACTGGAGAGCTCCGCCGACATGGAGGTGCAGGTGGAGTTCCACCCATTCGACGAGCCGTCTGCGCGGACACTGGTGGAAAGCGCCACAGCTGATGTGGATATGCTGGTCGGTGCCGTGCATGGCGGACACACACACACACACACAGAGAGAGAGAGAGAGAGAGGCATCTTGTGTGCAGGTATTGCCTCCGCTAGAGCGGTCCGCTTGTGTCGTTCCGAAGCGAGAGGAGGTTTTCGCCTGGAGGCGGCAGGGCTTCGAGGGCAAGGCCTTCCTGGGAGACGTACGCACGCAAGCAACGCACATATGGGCGTCGACGGGTGTCAATCAATGCATGCACGTCGCTTGGTCTGTCGGTCTGTCTGTCTGTCTGAGTGGTGTGTGTCGAGCAGGAGGAACTGGACATCCTGCGAGGATACGTACGTCGGGGCGGGCGGCTGGTGGTCTTCACTGACCCATACAAATATGCACTCGAGCTGCTCGGTACGATGCATGTCTCCGTCGTCCATTGCACATGCACCTCCTTGTCACTCACTCTTGGTGCCCAGGCCACCTGTTCGAGTCCTTCAAGCTGCCGTCAGCCCACGCGACATTTGAACCACCGCGGCCCCCGCCTGCCTCCCCACTGTCCCTCGCCCCTCTGCAGTTCGCATCACGACTGATCCTGCCTCCACCCCTGCAGGACTTCTTCCACACGCACACGTGCCCCCCACTGTTTCCACGGTCGGAGTGGACCGCACCGGCAGCGTTCTCGCCATTCGACCTGCCTGAGACTGCCATCCCTGTGTACGGGATGGAGGGCGTGGGGGCGTTCAGCGTCAAGCAGGCGGAGGGCAAGGTGACGTATTTCGCCTTCGGACAGGAGGTGGGCAGGGAGGTGGCCGTCATGGAGAAGAGGGCGGGGGAGGGGAAGGAGGGTGAGGCTGACCCTGTGCCAAAGGGAGGCTGGCGAGAGGTGAGCTCAAACATCTGTGTAGAGGAAGGCAGACAGGGAGACGGACAGGCAGACAGACAGACAGACAGTCCTGGTTGAGCCGATGGTGTGTGTGTCGTGTCTATCTTGCCTTGTCAGGTCATGTGGGGCATCATGAAAGGGCCACAGGTGATGGACTACTAAAGAAGGCCATGACTGTGTGACAGTGAGTCTCACTTTGGAATCGGATTCCATAGCTTGAGACGAGGCTTGAGATGCATCGCAGTATAGCACAGTGTGCATGCAAGAACTGACCATTATAGCACCCAATCGCACCAACGGAATAAATCAATGAGAAGAATCCATCCTGCATCGATGCAAGCTCGCTCGCGCCCCCCAAATCCTTGGGGGCAACTAGAGACTCTAACGTCCAGGCTCCCCTCAGGCCCTCCTCCTCACCCCCGTCGGTTGTCGTAGTTTCGTTGTCGTGATTTGTCGTTAAGTGTCTGTCGTTGAAGGCCAATGAAGGGCGAAAAAGGAGCCGAGCCACAGCAGGTATGGACGACCTCACGACGCCACTGGGCGGCTGCCGTGGCATGCATGCTATGCAGCTGGGCTGCCACTGGTGGATGGAGAGAGAACGGTCGTGTTGATCATAGCTAAATTCTGTGGATTTTGGTGTTGGTGGGTGCAGATGGTGATGCAGCCCCAGGCGTATGGACAGCCCCAGGTCATGCAGCCTGTCGCACAGATGCAGATGCAACCTGGTAGGCTTCATTGTACACACACACACAGAGGCCCCGGGCCGAATAACGCGTCCGTCTCTGTCGAACGAAACGTCTTCGCTCCTTCTGGACGGCTGCAGGCATGATGGTGATTAACACGGACCCGTGGGCCATCCTGAGCGGTCAGCTGAGAGCCAATCTGATGATACCATTGCGCGTGCATTGTCCATGTGTGTGTGGGGGCGGATGGCTGGGATACACCAGGCATGACGGGTGCTGAGATCAAGGAGCGCGTTCGCATGGCTGAGGCCATCCTCGGCTGGGAGCAAAACAATATGTACGCTGTACAGCCACCCAGCCAGGCCAGGGAGGGGTCACTGCACGACCCCGGCGCTTCTGAACTCTCTGATATGCGCTATGTGTGTCCGTGTGTCATGTCAGCTATGATATCAAGGACCAGAATGGGAACCCCGCGTTCATCGCTAAGGAGGACACGGACACCTGCACCCGGCTCATCGGCATGTGCTGCCCTGTGTAAGACATACGCACACTTCTCAACACACACAGGGTCGCACTATGACCACACGAGAGAGAGACACGGAGAGAGAGATGCCATATATGTCCTTATATGTGGTCTCAATTGACTTGTTTCCGTCCAGTCAGGACTGCCGCATGTTCAAGTTGGACATCTCCGTGCCGCCCAGTCAGCACACACACACACACACACACATGGCCAAGGGTGCAGGTGCACACCCTCCCTTTATCCCGGCTTGTTCTTTCTGTGCTCTTTCTGTCTGTCCCCCCAACCCCCCCGCAGTGCCTGGCGCGTCGCCCCCTCCCTTCCTGCATCTGGACCGGCCCTGGACGTGCACATGCTACTGCTTCAATAGGTGAGGACACGCGTGAATGAATACTCAAGACGTTGTCATCGCAGGCAGGAAGTTCACTGCGGGCATGTTATGTTTTGAGTGCAGACCGAAGGTCACGGTCACGGATCTGACGGCTGGAGGTCCGTCTGTCTGTCGCGACGACCGACCGATGCACACATATGTTGCCTGGCTGATGGCTCAAGGCTGAAGGCGGTGGGATGTGTCTGTGTCTGTATGTTGTCAGGTGAGGTCATCGGTACCATGAGGGACCCCTGGTGCGCGAGAAGATTTCACAGACAGACAGACAAGGACAATGCGTGTGTCTTCTCTCTGAGCCACACATGCCTTCGTTCTGTTTATATCCTGCAGGCACTGCTGCAACTACAACATGCGCATGGCGGACCCTGAGGCATAACCACACGCACACACAGAGACAGAGACAGAGACATGTGTGTGTGTGTGCATATCTGTGCAGGGCAAGGATGTGTTGAACGTTGAGGCGTCGTGCTGCCAGTGCGGCTTCTGGTGCCCACTGCCATGCGGTCAGCGAACCCACACGTCCACACACGTGTGGTGCAGACCCTCTTTGCCAAATATGGGCATCAATGTGTGTGTGTGTGTGTGTGTGTGGTCAGGCCCGTGCAAGGAGGTCCAGTTCGAGATCACCGACGTTGAGAGCAAACAGAAAGTCGGACACTTCAAGCGCGTAAGACAGACTCTCTCATGCACAGAGACCACATGCCCATTGTATATGTATGTGTGTGTGTGTGCGTGCCCTCTGTCCTTCCATCTACATGATCATCCGTCAATCAGATCGTCCCGTGCAACCTGCTCAAGTTCCTCTTCACCGACGTGGACAACTACCAGTCAGCTCACACTCCTCACCCCTCCCCCCCCAGACACAGACACACACAGATGGAGAGAGAGACACATGGGCGGGTGGACTGTGTGCGTGTGTTCAGGGTGGAGTTTGGCGGCATCACGGACCCCAAGTGGAAGTCCCTCCTCCTCGCGGCGGCGGTTTTCGCCGACTTCCGATACTTTTCCACTAACAGTACGCACTGCTTCATCGCCACCCCCCCCCCCCGGCACACACACAAATGGATTGCACAGATGCACGCCTTTTTGCCTCTGTATGTGTGTGTGTGTGTGTGGTGGTCACTGCTTGGCTGGCTGGCTGCAGAGAACGAGAACAGCGCCCTCGGGACGATCTCCTGAAGAACCAACTCCTGATAAACATACATACACACAACCATAGCATAGCATAGCAATGACACAACACCCAGACACACACAGACACACACACACACACACAGAGAATGGCATTACCCTGATTGATAGCAGCGCCCGTACACAGACTACACATTCATGTGTGTATGCCTGCGTGCATGGGATGATTTGATTTGATTTTTCGTTTGTTCGTTGGTGCCATCTCTGATGGCATGGTGTGGTGTGGTGTGGTGTGTCCGTCGGTGCTCACGGTATGGCTGACGTGGCATGGCATGGTCTGTGTGTTTGGCAGAGCGAATGGATGCGTGTGTGTGTGTGTGCACACTTCGGTTGACGGATGGATGGATGGATGGATGTGCGCGATTGGTGTGGTCTAGACAGGCAGACAGACGCCAACTCTGACAGACTGAAAACGAGATAAATGAAAGCTACTGGTTGATACGAGTCGCAGAATGGATCCCATCGAAAGCTCGGTCCATGCAGGCAGGTCATTTGCTCACACATACACACATACACACATACACACATACACACATGCATTCATGGCCATCAATCGAATCTCTCTTGCTAATTAGACAGATCACCCACGCACACGCCGCACGCCGCATACGCCACACACGCCACACACGCAGATGCATCCACGCGCATCGGCCATCCACTCCACTCCACTCCACGCCATCCAGCCATCCATCCACGCCATAATCCATGCAGTCGTGAATGCGATATAACACCGCCAGGCACGCACCAAGAAGGGGAGAGAGACGCGTGGCAGACAGACAACTCTTCAGCCGGTCCACGGAAGCCCATGGAAGACAGAACACGCCCGTGTATGCCTTGATGCAGATGTGTGTGTGTGTGTGTGTGTGTCTACAGAGGGTATCTATCGTTTGTTTCGTGTCCGCCTCTCGGACGAGCGGCGGGCGCTTCCTTCTCTGTGCTAGCTGTGCTATGTATGTCTACGATCCGAGTGGCCGGCGGAAGATGAGCACCTGCTTCTCCCACCCGTTGGCGTAGTGCTGCCATCCCGAACTCATGTGCAGTTGCGTCACCTGCACACACACATCGACATACACACACACACGCACAGACACACAGACAGACAGACACACAGACACACAGAAGGACATGGATGCACCGTTTTTGTTGGTATGTGTGTGGGTGCGCACCGCACCTCGCGCCACTCCTTCTCGTTCATGTAGATGCGGCTCTGGCCGAGCGACCTCTGGCGGCGCTTCCAGCCCTCATACGCCTCCAAACGCTTCCTGGAAGCGCCACACGCAGGCCGTGCACAAGGAAGGAAAGAACCCACACATCACACACACACATATCCATCCATCCATCGCAAGGCCGGGCTTTCGTCCTTTTCTCTTTGATGGGATGTATGGCTCACTCGTCGAGCACCACGTGGCGGTGCTGCCACACGCGCCCGTGCTCGTCGGGGAACTCGTCGTCGACACGGTTGGAATACCTGGGGGCACGGCACACAGTCCATCCAGCGCACAGATCCTCCTTGCAATGGTGGATCTGCTCACTCGCACAGGCTGTTATCGAACACCTGCACCATCCATCCATCCAGCCATCAATCCATCCGGATCAGGTGGATATGTCAGCTTCGCTCACCTCCTTCTCCTCCTCCTCGGGCGGGGCCGCCCCACCGCCCTGGCCAGCAGCAGCGCCGACGCCAGGCAGCGGTTCGCCATTCTGTGCGCCTAGCTGTGCGCAAAGATTCAATAGCTGTGCGCCGCCCGCAACTCCAGCCGCCGCCGCCGCAGCCTGCTGATGCCCTACTGCACCTGCTCCCGGGGGGAAAACCCGGGGCATCGCCCGCTTGAAACCAGGCTGAGCCTTAAACTTATCCGCCATCTGCAACAAACTCCTATGAGATGATCACGCCGCGAAACATGATGCATGCACTGGCTGACGGGGGCTGCCTGGGGGTCAAAGGATTCCGCCAGAGAAATGCCTCCCCAGCCAGTGAAGCCCGCTCTCCGCACACTGGGCACCAGGGTCATCCAATCATCACCCGCGCCACCAGCTCAATTATCAGCTCCTCCTGCTGGCAGTGGCAGAGACCACACGATTGACTTTGCCGTCGTCGAGAGCGCCCTCCATGCTCGCGGGTAATGCATATTATGCAAGCACAGCGCTGACACCCACCAGACCAGGCATGGTCTCTCTTTTTGTCTCTGTTGCCGTCCGTGTACTTGTGTTGTGGCTGTGTGTGCCACCTGCAGGTATGGTGTGACGCCCATATCCATCCCGTCCGCTGCTGCCCAGAGCGAAAAGCCCCTCCTCCTGCCCGTGGTTGCCGGCGTTGCACACGTCTGCGAAATACGAGCCCCCTCTGACCCCGAAGCAAAGGCGGTGCTCAGAGCCATTGTCAGCTCCCATGCGCCGCGGGAAGAAGAGGATGAGGACGAGGAGTCCTTCGTTGAGAGCCTCCTGGTGGACATCAGGGCGGTCAGTGAGGAAGGCGAGGATGACAGCCCCCGTCGAAAGAGCCGGCGGGCGTGCGAGGTGGCCATGGATGACGAGCTCAAAACGGTGCTCAAGGCGGCGACCATGAGGCATCCGACGGTGCGGTCGAAGCTTTTCGGGTCTATGGCGGTGGCGCACTCACTCGCGTACCCCCTCACAGTAGCCGATATGGCTCATATGGCCGCCGACACCGCCCAAGCTCCGTGGAAGGTGTTTCTCAGTGTCCTCAGCCTTCGCACAGGTCAAAGAGAGACTGATACAAAGACGCAAGGGACCACAGAATGTCACTCACGTTTCACATGTCATTTATGTATGCATCAGGTGAGGTGGCGGTGAGTGTGCGTCTGCCTCCCCTCCTTGTCTGCCGTCGGCGAGTCCCACCAGCAGCCGACAAGACCGCTGAGGCACTCAGCCCACGCTCCCGCCGCATGCGAAGATACAGCTACGAGCCTGTCGAGGCCGCCGCCACACCAAGGACGCCGGGCACCCCTGCGATAAGGCACCGCGTACCAAGCCACTTTGTGTCCCCCAGAAGCACACCTGCACCGAAGTCTGCGGGTCGGGCGGGACCGCCCCGTCGGCTGCGGACAGGCATACAGTACAAGTTGGACGAGAGGAGGAGACATGCTTTGCTCAGCGAAGGGCATGTGGAGTCTCCCCCTCGATCGCATTCCCTACAGAGTGCCGAGGACAGGATGGAGGCAGAGGAGAAGGCGCGCAAAGAGGGGCGACTCTTCACGCCCCTGATGCAGCAGAGGCTCGCAGCCAGCGCGGCTGAGAGCGGGGCCTCCACACGGCGGCGGCCGCGTCTGAAGGAGGTGGTTCAGCGTGTGATGCGGCAGCTGGCCATGATGCGCATGGGGGCCATGTTCGAGGGCTACCAGCTGCAGATCAAGTGGATGCAGCTCGTCGCACACGCTTCCTTTTTCACCTTCTTCTTCAAGAGGAAACGGGAGCTGGCCATCGTGAGGACCGACCGAGAGCTGTGGACGGTGGGCATGATGGCGTCCGTCTATGCCGCCATCCGCATGCAGGTCAGGTCAAGGAGGAGGGCGAAAGGACACAAAGGGCAGCCAGTCGCATTTTGTGTGTTTTGCTGGAAGGGCGGGTGGGCGTGGCGTTCTGTTTGTGTGTGTGTGGTGAAGTGTAGGTGTTTCTTGCGGCACTGAGGTTGCGGTCTCCAGTGGCTTTCTGGTCCAACAACCTGACGGCCCTGCTGCATCCACGCCCCCCGATCACACAGCAACAAGCTGACAGGGCGAAAGGTGAGGAGGGAGGGAGACATGGACCACTGCCTCAGAGAGCACCAGCTGATGCATCCATCAATGGCAATTTCTCTCTCCTTTGTCTGCCTGCCCGCCTGCAGCCCTGATTGCCCCCCTGCTCTCCCTCATCCCTCAGCCGCTTCCAAGACGGCTGCCATCCAGACCTCTCACCACACACTCCATCCAGAGAAACAGGCAACACGACACCAGCCACCGAGACCACGACCGGCCTCCCACCCACCCCACAGCCACCACAGCAGCAGCTGGGGCTGCTCCAGCTGCTCCACGTCCACCGAGCCCCAGTAGTGGCAGCTTCCCCAACCTGGTCGAGGCCATGGCGAGTGTGCCGCAGTCGGCTGTATCGGTGGCTGCCCAGCCCCCGCCCAATCATGAGGTCTACAAGATTATGACAAGCCGGCCGGTGAGCAGCCAGCCGTCGAGCAAGGAGTCGTACAAGAGCGACAAAGGGGCTTTTTTTGACTGCGAGAATGACGCGGCGCTCATCCTGAGGCCAAAGTCGACTGACACGGATACCAAAGAGCAGCGGCAGGATGAGATGGGAGGCAGAGACACGACTGATGGCGGCCCCGTGGAGGGTCCCCGGACACGCACTCCACTCAAGAGCACCCCTGGCACATCCGTCACGCCTCAACAGCCTCCCCAATCACCCCTGCGGATCCCCCTGCTGCCCCTGCAGAAATTGCCACACGAGCCGACGACGAGCAGACAAACACATCGGCAGGCGGCCAACGCCCACACATCGCCCAGACAGGACGGCGTGAGCTTCGACCACTCCTACTCAATGACCTGCTCCAGCAGAGCCTCGAGTCCGCGCAAGAGAGCTACTGGGGAGTATTTTCACAGAAGGGACCCCGGCTACGATGTGAGGTCGACCGAGCCCCTCTCTGATCGGAATTTGGAGAGATTTGGCTTTGTCCTGGGCAGGAAGCTCAAGACGACCACCACCAGCAGCCCGCTGACCTTCCTCGACGTGCGCAACCGCACACTCAAAGGGCGAAACACCACCACCCACATGACAGCCGAGGATGCCGCCCGCAGGATGGCTACACACATCGAGCACCACCTCGTCCCTTTCCGCTGCGATGGCTCCTTGCTCCCCCTGCTGCCTCTCCCTCCACCCATGTGGCCCCTCACGGCCACCGCAAGCGAGAAATTCCGCTCATCAGCTCGTCGCGCCAGCCAAATTTCGGAGAGCAGACGCGTGAGCACGGCCCTGCAGGCTCCCGCCGCCAGCTCGAGCGCATCTGAGAGTGGTACTTCCGAGAGCGCCTCTGCGTCGGGAGAGCCGCAGACGACAGCTCATGAGGACCGCCGGATCGAGGCCATGATTGACCGGCATAGAGCGCGCTTGTCTGCGGGCCAGAAGAGGAAGCGCCGTAGCAAGCTCACGTATGCGGTGGCGCTGTTCCACCACCTTTTGAAGGCGAACAAGGCGCAGCGGCGCCGGGCGAGGGGGAGGGGGGAGGAGCCGCAGGCTCTGGCGTTGGGCCGGAGGGACTCGTGGATGCTGCAGCTCGGTGAGTGAACCCATCCAAAACACAACACAACACAACACAACACAAGAAAGCGAAAAACACACACGGTCTTCTTGCATGTCTGTCAGAGTCGCTGCTGCAGCAGGGTGTGGACGTCAACATCTCGCCTGACGCACTGCTGCAGACCCTCGAGGGCCGCACCATCTCCCGCCAGATCGCACAGAGGATCAAGCGCATCCACATGGACGAAGAGGCCGCAACGAGCGCTGAGAAAGGGGGAGCCAGAGGAATGAAGATGGAGGACTATCGCAAGATGGAGCGCAACTTCCTCCGGAGGTTGCGCGAGAAGCGGGCGCAGAAACTCGCCGAGTGAGTGAGTGGCTGACCCCGCCATTCACCAGCAACGTGACGTGTCTCTCTCACGTGCTTTCGTTGCATGTTGTATGTGTGCAGGCGTAGCGCTGCTGCGTTTAAGCGATTGCTGCGGCAGGGGTCTTTTCGCTCGAGGGTGTCGCTCGAGTACTTTGACGAGCAGGTCATAGCGCGACGCATGCCCTCTCTGCAGAGGCTGAGGGTCCTCCTGCTGGTCGCAAGTGGCAACGAGGGCGTGCTGTATGACTATGAGGAAGCCGATTCGCGCCGATGCATCCAGGACCACGCCCACGTAGGAAGCGGAGCACCTGTGTCTCGTGTTCTGTTTGTTTGTGTGTGTGTCTCCATGCGTAGCCCTTTTTTTTCCCTTCCTTGTCAGCTTCGCGCACTCACCCGCCGCAATGGCCTGCCTGGACCAGATTCCACAGTCCACTCAAGAGTGTATAATTGCACCGCACCAAGCCGTGTGTGACCGGTGTCCACCGCTTGCCTGTGTGGGTGTGTGTGGACACTTTTTGTGCGGTCCCTTTATGCAGGACACTGACTGGCTTGCTCGAGGCTGCGGTGTTCCGGCAGGCTGCCCTCTTCGACCGTGCCAACAAAGACAGGGAGGCCGTGCGGCAGAAAGCCATGGCGCACAAGACATATGCGGTGAGTGATAGACACCTCAACAAGCCCTCTCAGCTCTTTTCTATTTCCACCACCAGGCCAGCCTGCCGTCCGGATCGCGCCTCATGTTTGAATCAGAGGGCCCCCTGGCCAGGTCTCGCAACGAGCTGCTCAATAAGATGAAGCGCATGGAGGTGCTGGCCGTCAACCCCAGGCACAGAAGAGGCGGCCTCACTGCCGACCACAGGCGGCCGGCGACGACCGAGCGGGCGGTTGAGGGCGGTGTGGGTGAGGAGTGCGTGGCGTCCAAGTGGGGGCCGTTTGTCGTGGGGCGGTTGGAGTCGAGGCGGAGGACATCCGTCTTGTCCACCAGGGGCACGACTCCTGCAGGCCTGTACAACCTGCGTGTTGGTGGGCCTGATGACGCGCTCAAACAGCAGGTCAACACCGTAGACGGCATCATCAAGTAAAGGAACCAACCAGCCAAATAGTGCTTACCGACAACCATGGGTGTCACTTCATCCCTCCTCCCCTTGCAGGCGGGAGGAGCTGTACGATCGCCATCGGCGTCGGTCCATGTCTCCCGGCCACCGGGCATCGTCGCCCCCGTCCCCCCTCTCGCGGCCGGCAGCATCGCCCACCACCCACCAGCCAACCGAACGGGGCACATCCCCGTCGCCATTCGGCCATGAGCGTGTGGTGTCTCCTCAAGCAACCACACAGGCCTCGCTGAGAGGGTGGTCCAGGGGGGTTGAGGCGTGGGCAGATCTGAAGGGCAAGGACACGGAGAGGAAGGCTGATGCGGCCGTCTCTGTGCGGCCGACAACTACTGCCACCGGCGGCGGCAGCAAACTGCGAGAAGCGACGTATGAGTACTTCGGTGAGTTTTGAAATGGCCCTGGGATTCCCCACCATACATGTCATGTCTCTGTGATGACGTGCGTCTCTGGTGCAGAGAAGTGTTTCTCAATGACCTACGACATCGCTGGTCTGATCAAGGAGCTGGATCACACCCTAGACCAGAGCAGAGAGCTGCTGACGGCCACGCAGAAGAGGAGGAGCAAGTACCAATTGTATCAGTACCTTTATGGGCGAGAGAACGACAGTGCTTCCGGGAGCGGGGAGGATTCTGACACTGTCAGGGGAGAGAAGAAGGCATGGAGAGGAGGGGGTAAGCCGAACAAGGGTGCGATGCATGTGAATGTCATCAGAAGAAGGCATCAGCCCAGGACAGGTGGACGGGACAGGTGGCAGTGAGTGAGTGAGTCGATCTGCGCGTACACGTGTGGTGTAGCTTCCTTCCTTTGTTGGATTTGTGTATGCTTTCTCCTCCTCCTTCGGGGACGCTTTGTGCCCGTCTACCTGGATGGTTTTGATTGCGATGGGCCCCTGCTGCTTCCCCCCACCCACCGCTCGCGTACCCTCACCCTCACCCTCACACACACCACCATATGGACATCGTTGCCTTTGTCGGGCCGGGAGCGTTTCTTGGATGCTGCCTTTGCCTTTGGTGGGGGCGGGCTGGCGAGCAGCCGCTTGGTGCGCTTGTCCTTGAGCACCTGCCGCAGCTGCACGAGGCTCATGGATGGCAGCACGATGGCCGTCCTTCATGTCGCCGTCATGGCCGTCACTGGAAGAGGAGGATGAGCCGAGAAGGGGAGAGAAAGGGAGATGGGGTCAGACGACGGAGCGGGGCTGCTGCCAGCCACCAGTAACACCAAGCAGAAAACACGGCAATTTTTCCGGTTTCGTGAAATTGGCTGGGGGCGTCTCCTTTGCTGGCAAAGGAATCGCCGCCAAGGCTTCTCCATCCCTTTTCCCTTTCCTGTCTGAGCATTGCAGCCCACGGCTGCCTGCCACTGGTTGCTTTGCCATGAGACCTTGTGACACGACGCCTCGCACCAGGCCAGAGAGCGCCGCGCAGCCCGCTGCTTGCCCGCTGCCTTCGTTTCTCCGGTCCCGAGGCCTCTCTGGGTGTCCCTGACTGAGCGTCCCTTCACCATTTGAGTTGCCTGCGGCTCTCGAGACGGTGAGCGAGACGAGGCGGCCGGGGGCTGACTGCCACGCCGTCACAGTGTGCCAGTAGACGGGATGGCTCTGTTCCGTTTGGCGCATGTCATTGCAGATGGCATCCGTCGTGCCGACCCTTCTGCTTAAGGCCCTGGTGCTCGCCTCCTGCGTCGCCCTGGCCACTTGCAAGAGCTCCGGACTGGCCAGCCTGAGCCGTGCGAAGTCCGCATGATAGCCGAAGACACCGAACGCACGGAAACCAATGAAACGGTGAGACGTCGGACAAGATGGCCTTATGACGCTTCTGTGTCGTCTACACACAGGCACAGATCTACGGGGACCAGATGATGACGGAGTGCCCACACAAAGAGACCTGTGTCGTCAACGAGGTGAGCTAGGAATCGATAGATGCGGGAGCGCATTTCATATGCCCTTGTCCTGGCTCTCCGGACGACGGATACAGATGGCCAGGACCAATGACAAAGGAGTGGGCACATGCGAGGCATTGGAGACGGAAGAGGACGTGGCCAAACGCTGCAACTCGGCTGGTAGGATGCTGGTCGGCTGGTTCGGTCTGGAGACCTGGTGCATGGCCGCCAAGGACGTGGTGAGAAGGAGCAAGCCACAGCGGCTCAGATGTGTTTGCAACAACTTCATGTCCAATCATGTGTGTGTCCCTGCCTTGTCTCGTGTGAGACAGGAGTTCGTCGAGAGGTTCCAGCCCTTTCCGGGCGGCGGCGTGTTCGAGGGCGGTGACCTCATGTCAACGGAGACGCGGGACCACAGGACGATCATCAAATTCTGGCCTGGACACCCGAAGTGGGAGAAGAACAGAAGTGAGTCAGACTCTGAGACAGACTCTGAGACAGACAGACAGACAGACAGACGGATAAGAATACATGTGGAGCCCCCCGCCTGCCGTTTGCATTTTGACCTACTTGATCGGTACTTACACACATGCACGGGTGTGTGTCTTCTGTCTGCTATGCAGAGGCTGCCCGTCAGGCACACATGAGGCTCCATAAAGAGGAAGACATGAGGGCCTACAAGAAGCTCCAGGAAGAGAGAGCCATGAGCCGCATGCGCGCGCAGGCACAGAGAGAGTACATGGGCCTCATGTACGGAGCCCAGTAGCCGACTGACTGAGTGAGTGAGTGAGTGAGTGGACAGAGATGGACGGGCTGCTATTTCTTTTCACGACTGTGTGCCAAAGGAGGATCGATCAAGAAGGACCACACCGAGACAGATAGACAAACTCAGAGAGTCGGGGTCAGTGAGTGCATGACAGACAGACCTCCCACACGTTTTCGTTGAACGGGCGGACCAAACAAGTCGGGCAGTCGGCCTTACCGTATGGACATTCCACACCCATACACGGACAGCTGTGGGTGCCTGTCGGCCACAGATCGACATACACACAGAGAGATGCCCAACGGATTGACCGCATTGTCATCGCAGACAGGCCAGGTGCCGCGCTCAAACAGGCAGGCGCCCAAACACTCAGCGTCCCACACCCGTCTGCACACATCCTGCATCCACAGCAGTTACTAGTACTGTCTGGTTATCTGCCGCGCATCGCGGAAAAACGACGAATCGCTCGGTCAGGCCAGAAAAACGCTCAGCCCTTTGCTGTCCGTCTCCCGCTCGGTCATTGTCTCTGTCTGTGTGTCGGTGTCTGTGTCTGTGTGTGTGGGGGGTGTGCATTGCAGGGGTTGCTTGACAGGCAGGACAGACTCCGAGCAGATCTCGGCAAGGAGGAAGGAAACCGCACCATCGCCAAGGTGAGAGCAATACACACACACACACACTCACCCCCAGGACGTATCGGCTGTCTCTCTGTCTGTATGTCTCTGTGTGTGGGGGTTGCAGCCAGTTCTCGACGCACAGCAGGGCCCCTACCGTGTGCGAGATCCCGCCCCCTACCTCAAGTGGACACCGCCTCTCCAGGCCATGTGAGCAGATGGAACAAGCAGCAAGCAAGCAAGGGAGAGACGGGCACACTGGCCTGTATGCTTGCAGCTTCTTGGAGGCCGTGACGGTTGGGGGCGGCCCCCACAAGTGCACGCCTCTGCAGATATTGGGATACATGAGGACGGCGAATCATGAGCTCATTGCCGAGGTCGGCCTCACCAAGTCCCACGTGAGCAACTACCTGAAGAAGCACCGAAGAATGGCCAGACTAGAGGCGCAACACAACGCGCACGCAGCGGAGGCCGCCCATCCGCCCACGAGCCCATCCCCACCAGCCACCGCTGCCAAGCGGCAGCTGGTGGTGGCCGCCCATCCGCCCACGAGCCCATCCCCACCAGCCACCACTGCCAAGCGGCCGAAGGTGGTGGCCTCACCCTCGCCGTCACCCAGCCCGTCGGCCTACGGTCTGCAGCTAGGTGGGATTGGCAACGATGCGGAGACCGAGCGGTGTGAGAAGGAGACCCAGCCGACGCGCCAGTATTTTGATGCTCTTCTGCAAAAGAAAGCCCCCCGTCGTCAGATCACACCCACCCATTCAGCCGCCCATCCACACTCATGTCGGCCGCCCCCAAGCACTGCGAATACGAGCGCATCTCTCGCCTGCAGCAGCTCGTTCCTCGGGCCGGTGGTGACGGCCCCCCACCCGCCCACACAGCAGCGTGTCCACCATGTTTGTGGGTCGGCGAGGCCACCTCCTGGATATCGAGTGGTGCTGCCACCACCGCTCGGCCCATTTCGGGATCCTCTCTTCACAGCGGATGACCCACACCCGTTGAGGAGGACGGCAATCAGGTAGGTGGATGGATGGATGGATGGGGTGCGGGGAGTCCGTGAGGTCTCTTTGTTGGAGGAGGGGAGGGAATGGCAATGATAGGACTGCGAGTGGGAGGTGTGACTTGGGGACGTGTGTGTTATGACATGTATTGTCATGATTCCGCGAATCGGGCTGACACTTCAGCACGGTCGTCGTCTTTCTCAGACGGAAGGCGTCCGGTCAGACAAAACGGTCGATCACGGTCGAACTAAAAAAACAAAGGGTCATTCCACACCAGTGCTGTGCTGGCACCCCCACTGCTCACCCAGCACGTTGAAACCTGGAAGCACCATCACATCGGTTCAAGCTCGCAGTGCCACTCGGAAAGGCGCGGTGATTCCAGGCCCGATCTTCACGTTTGGGTTCACCGGAAGCCCATCCATCCATCCATCCATCCGTCCATTCATCCATCTGATCTTGAGCCACTGGATCTCGGAAGTGAATGAAGCCGCCGCCCGGGCGTCTGGCTATAGAAGATGCGTGCCGTTGTCTAGCCAGCGAGGGGCTGCCCGTCCAGCCCAAATGCGCCGAGGCTCTTCGGCGCGCCAAGCATGGCGAGCACGCGTCGGCCGAGGCGCTGCTGCCGCTCGTGGAGGACATGTGCCTCCTCTTCTGGGTGGAGGGACTCAAACAGCTCAAGCGCAAGACCCTCAACGCACAAGACCACCCGGCCGCTCCTCCCCCCGCCCTTTGCAGTGCGGGTAGCTTCCCATTCGTCGCATCGACGCTGAGATACCTGGAGTATCCCCGCTTGACGCAGCTGCTGACGAGCTACGAGCACCACCAGCGTGTCGAGCCGGCACGTCGTCGGTCACAGGACCACGCGGACACCAGTGGCCTCTTCCTCTTCTCGCGTGAGCTGTTGCTGACCCTGGCGTACCTGATTGCCACCAGATCGCTGCTGTCCGACTACCACCGCCCGAGGCCAGATCTGCCGTTCCTGCGCGATGAGGACATGGAAGGGGCCAAGTTGGTGGCCCCGGTCGACACGTCATCCTTCCCGTCCGTGGTCAAGACCTCGGGTGACGCGACAACGACCTTCACGGCCAAGTTTGCGCGCAAGGGCCCTCTCGAGCTGGCCCGTGATGACATCAGGAGGCGGCAGTCCTCCCCCACGCAGCGGCAGTCCCACTTGTCGATCATCAGCGTGACGCTGGCCAGCTGGCTGATGCAGATGACCCTGCGCGTCAAGTCCATCCATTCGTCGATCCGCCATCTCGACAGCCACCGGCTGCTGATGCTGCACCGGTTCGAGCAGAGGATCCGGGCCCTCATGAAGCTGTCGGGCAGCCACGACCTCGGCCCCCCCACTGTGTGCGACTTCACCATATGCCGCCAACCGTCTGTGTACGAGCAGGTCGTGGCTCAGCTGCAGCGCTATCAGCAGCTGGTGGAGCAGTGGCAGCGGCAGAGCGTCTTTTGGCGGTGGATGCAGACGGTCCTCGACGAGGCCGATCACATCGAGAGGGAGCGGAGGGATAGCAGGGGGGCAAGGGAGGAGGGGGCCGGTGGTTGGGAGGAGAGGGAGAGGGATGGTGAAAAGGCGCCGGGCAACTCTGTGGTACTGCCTGTGGATCCTTTCATGGTAGCACACACGCACGCCACTCCCACTCGCACATCTGACCTCTTCATGCGTGTCTGCCCGCCCCATAGTTATTGCAGAGCGGGGATCAGCTGTCCGAGAACGTGAGCTTCGTGTCTGCTTTGCTGACCCACAAGGGTCTGCCCGACCCCCTGCCAGTCAGCCCCTTCCCCTTCGCCGCCCTCATCGACAAGGGCAGCGGCTGCGGCAGCGCTGTGGCCCCCGACACACAGCACAACAGAGAGCCCTCCCAGGACACCATCGGATGGCTCAGCACGGTGCAGGTGCGTAAGCACACGGTGGCATGTGTGTTGTGTGCATGGTGTCACTGTCGTGGCTTGGCTTGCAGCGATCGTACGTGTCGTCTGGTCACAAGCCGAAGGCCACGTTTGTGCCGGCCCATAGCGAGCCTGCGTTCTTCAACTTCGTGTCGGAGAAGTGGACGCGGATGATGAGCGAACAGAGGACGCAGGCACTCCAGCAAGTCCAGTCGGGGGACAGCACGCTCGAGGTGAGACAGCAGAGTGGACAGATGGATAGATAGAAGGGTTCTGTGTGCGGACTGGTCTGGTGGTGTGTCTGTTGGTTGGTGTGTAAATGTTTGTGTTGTGTGCAGGCTGAGCTTCTTTCGGCTTACCTGAATGCTGTAGCTTGTAAGCACTCACCCACCCTGCGCTCTGCAGAAACTGACTGACAGGCTGAGCACATCCATTCATTTCTCGTGTGTATGCGTATGTGCAGCGGTCTGTGCCGCCTACCTGCCGCTGCCAGAAGACCTAGGCAAACACCTACACAGGGTAACAACAGCCACACACACACACACACACACATACACACACACAGAGTGACGACGTCAGCTACACTCGCCCCTCTGATGTGTGTGTCTATCTATCTCTTTATAGATAGTGCTGGATTGGTCGCTGCTGTCACGGTCATCGTCTCCGTCCGACCCCTCGGCCGTCTGCCCCTCTGTGCGCTCCACCTCACCCCATCCCGCCTCACGCACCCCGCCCCCTCCCATGCGCCAGCAGACCAACAAACCGCCCCAGCAGCAATGGCCCTTCCCCTTCCCCCCACAGCACAAGCCGACAGACAAGCGGCAGGCCGCCCTTGACAAGGCCCGCAGGTCCCACCTTAGGCTGCTGCGGCGGTCCGTCGGGGGGCTGGCGCACCTCGTCAAGCCGACCGACGTGTCCAACCCCTCTCTCTCCTCAAACAAGGGCAAGGAGACCCCTGTGTGTGCACCACCACCGGGTGTCGCAGCAGCAGCAGCAGCAGCAGGAGCGGCCGAGCAGCATGATAGTGGCGGTGACGGTGAGGGGACAGACGAGAGTGCGGCATTCCTTGCGCGTGAGAGCGAGGGCGAGGCGTGGGACGGTGACAAGACGCCCAGCTTTGTGTGGGCGCTGCGGCAGCGGCGGGCGGCCGAGGGGGCGCGGCAGCAAGAGCTGTCGAGCCATGTGCATGAGAGGCTGCGGCGCGTGACGGCCAAGATGGAGGCCAAGCTGGGCATCAGAGTGGTCCCATGACCGATATGACCAATCGAGTGCATATTGGTAGGTGTGTGTAGATATATACGTATCGGGGAGGGAGAGAGAAGAGAGCCCTTCCTCGTGTTGTATGGGCGACGTCCTGACACGGTTTGCCATTCTCGTTGCATGACGCGCCGGAGCAACCAGTGCAGGGCAGGCGGACTATGTCAAGATGAGGAGTGTGTGTGTGCTTGTAACAGACAGACCGCTGGGCAGTGCCGCCTCTCTCTGTGAGGGATGAGGATTGGAATATGATTGGACAAACATTAACAAACAAACCAGGGTCCATCCATCCATCCGTCCACCATATAGGTAGGCATACACACATGCACTTGACACGACAGCAAGGCATGCACATGGACAGAACGGCCGACAGACAGACAACGCACAGACGCCATGCACAACACTCTCTCTCTCTCTCTCTCTCACGGAGCACTCCTTCTTGCGTCGCTTAACGAGCGTCCGCCCAACCACCACACATCCTACACACCGCGCCACATGCCGTCTGTCTGTCTGTCTGTGTGTCTTTCTGCCCCCCAATGATGGGGGCCCCTGACATGACAGGGACGCAGCGAAGAGCACAGGGCGGGCAGCCACAGGCAGACAGACAGAAGGGCACAGACAGACGGACGGGTATCTGTACACTAGAGAAACACACGACGGGTATCTTGTCCACCACTGAACAGAAACACTGCAGGCAGCGAGAAAGAAGAAACAGACGTGCGTGCCTGAAGCACGTACGAACGGTGTACGAATGGCTGGCTGGCTGGCTGGCTGATGGGCTGGTAAGCCCACTCACGACACCAGCGCACCACCACACCACACACACAGCATCCGTCCATCCGTCCATCCATCAGTGGCAGCCGAATGCCACCAACCCACCGACCGGCTTACAACACACACACCACACACCCATCCCACTGCCAGACAAACGGTGCTTGCTACCCATCCATCCATCCATCCCTCCCTCCGTCTATGGTCTACTTTTTGGCTTTGCCGACGACGCCGCCCCTGATCTCCTCTGCGAGCGCCCCCAGCGAGCCGGGATTGTGCGGGATGAAGATCGTCTGGTGGCCCGACTGGGCCCCCAGATCCTGACCACACACACACATACACACACACACATACACATACACATGGATGACGCACACCAACACACAGTGGCGATGTGTGCTGTGTGGTGGTTGCCGGCCGACGCACGTACCTTGAGTGTGTCGAAGTATTGTGTGATGAGAACGAGGTCGAGGACGTCCTTGGCGCCCATGCCGCTGATGTTCTTGGAGAAGTCGTGCACACTCTCGCGGAGACCGTCGACGATCGCCTTGCGCTGCCGAGCGATACCCTCACCCTGCCAACACAACACACGGAAGGACACAGGCACACGCGTGTGTGGGGCTGTGTGTGGGTATGTGGTGGCCCAACTACCTGCAGGTACTTGGACTCGGCTTCCGCCTCAGCCTTCTTGACAATTAACACCTTGTCAGCCTCTGAGCGATGGGGGGATCGATATGCATGGTGAGAACACACACACGGCCAACACACACTCACACCAACCACCCTCCCTCCCTCACTGCCTGACTGACGGACTTACCGGCCTTCTCCTGGGTGGCTACCCGCTGTCGCTTGCTGGCATTGATCTCGTTCATGGCGTCACGCACACGGCGGTCGGGCGACACATCCGTCACCAACGTCTTGATGATCGTCCAACCAAACTCATCCTACCAGGGCAACGAACGCCACACGCACATCCGTCCATCCATCCACCTTATGCCCTACACACGTAGGAATGGCTGGATGGGGGGATGGGTAGATACCTACCATGGACTTGCGGAGTTCCTCCTTAACGGCGGTGGCGATTTCCTCCTTGCTCTCAAAGACCTCGTCGAGGTTCTGACGGGGGACCGTGGCGCGCACCACGTCGAAGACGTAGCTGTTGATCTGGCGGCCGGCGTCCTGCAGGCGGTAGTGGGCCTCGAACACCTTGTCCAGCTGAACCATGAACTGAACCGACACAGTTATCTGGATGGATAACACACACCACAACACGGTCACGGCAGGTACCGACAAGTGAGTGAGGCGTGACGTCTCGGAGTGTGTGTTGTGTTGTGTGTTGGTGCGTACATCTACGAAGACGTTGTCCTTGGTTTTGGTGTTGACTGCGACGTCGAGCTGCTGCACGCGGCTCGACACCTCCCCCGCCTTGTACATGACGCCTGTCCACACACACACAGACACAGAAACAAACACATGCAGGCAGGCAGGCAGGCGGGCGGCAGGGAAGTCCATCGTGTGTGCGTTGGTTGATGCACAGATCTCTGCCGTCCTTTGTGTGTTCTCTGTCGCATATATACGGACATGGGAGGGGCAGGCACAGAAACCCCGGTTGGGCGACATTGGTGAACTTGCCGCAGGTCTCGATGATGTACAGCTTGTCCTGCACGCACACACACATACACACGCAGCAGACGGGATGGATCACAACGAACGAGGCCTGCCCTCCTGCTGCGCTGCCGCCTCTCTCCCCCCTGCCATCCCATACATCTCATGCCAGCAGCAGTCCTTACATTGGGCACCGAGTGGCAGAAACCCATCTTGGCGTCTTTCTCTGCGGTCCTACACACCAGCCCTTCACTCCAAACCACACCGCTTCCCAACCTCTTTCTGCGCGCTCGGCTTAGAGATCGGCGTCCGTCCGACCTGTCTGCCATTCCCTTGTGCTCGTGAAGGCTTATTCATCGCCGAGGACCACCGTGGAGCGATGGACACGTCAGATCCATCGTCGTTTTCGTCAGCCGGCGAAGCAGCCATGCCCTGCGAGGACGCCTCGTCGTCGACAGATCAGCTGCATCAGCAGCATCAGCAGCATCAGCAGCAGCAGGAGGAGGATCTGATCAACGTAGAAGGGATGGAGATCCACTCGCTGCCGCCACGAGGGAGGCGGCAGCGGCACAAGCCCGAGGACGGGGTGGGCGCTGCCTCATCGTCGGCTGATGCGGGGCCCGATGGCGACGCCGCGATGAAGCTGGGTGAAGGGGACAAGGCCGAGGAGGAGGAGGGACGCAAGTCGAGCAGACGATTCGAATGTATGGCACACGCAGGGAGGGACGGGTGGGATGGCTGGGCTCATGCATTTTGTGCGCCTGGTGGATGGTGGGTGGTGTGTGGTGTGTGTGTAGATCTGGACCACACTGCAGACGTCATTCTTCATGCCTGTGAGGGAGAGAAGAACACCTGAAGGCTTGTCGGACCTTGCTCATTCGTCGCTCTCTCTCTTGTGTGTGTGCTCTGTGTGCGTGCTGTGTGCAGGGGGTGATCGTCTGAAGGATGCGCTGGAGCAGTTGGCTGAGGCAATGTTCAACTACATGACCGACATCGAAAAGGTCCTCCCGGACGGCACGCGCGAAATCGAGGCGCAAGGCAAGCAAATGGATGGATGGATGGATGGCTCGCTCTTATCCATTGCATCATCTCTGTGTGTGTTTGTGTTTGTGTGTGTGATACCTGCCATCCTCCCTCCTCTCTCATCCATCCATCCGCCTGTGCATCTGTGTATCTGTGTGTCGGTCAGGTCGCGACTTGCCTGATCTGGTGTTCCACTTCTTGGACGAGTGTCTGTTCCTCTACGGGTCTGAGTACTTCATCTGCTCCGTCGTGGAGATACTGCACATCGACGTCACGACTGCACCACTCACCATACGAGCCAGAGGGTGGGGGCAACACACACGCACACACACACACAGAGATACGTGTGGACGGAATGAGTGTGTGATGTCTGTTGTGTGTCGGTGGTGTCAGGTATGGCGAGAAGTTTGACCGAGTGCGCCACACACAGGGCACCGAGATCAAGGCCATCACGATGCACGAGATAAAGATCACAGAGAGCTGCTGCGGAGCTGACGTCTACGTCCTCGTCGACATATAGTAATAATGATAAGAATGAGACAAGTGACGCGACGGACGTCGATCAGGCAGGCAGGCAGGAAGCCTTAGAAGGATGCGGTCTTTTTCGATTGTGGTTGAGTAGCTCTGTCAGACTGTGTTTGTCGAGTGACGCACACGGCTTAACTTATCTGTCAGATAAGTGATAAGATGATGCAGTACAAGAGATATGGATGGATGGACCGACAGTCTTTGTGATTAACGAGCACACGCAACCGTCCTATATGCAGCGATAGTAAAGTCGTCAACCCCGCCACGTCAGTGCCGCCCATCGTCATGGGCTACCCCGTCCACCATCAGGACGACCACCATGAGGACAGAGACCCCTTCCACGCGATGGATGGATAGACGGAGAGCGATTCGTCATTTTTCGGCGATGCGCGGCAGATAGCCAGACAGTACTAGTAACTGCTGTGGTTGCAGGTGGCGTGCAGACGGATGTGGGACGCTGAGTCTTTGGGCGCCTACCTGTTTGAGCGCGGCACCTGGCCTGTCTGCGATGACAATTGTCCATATGGTGAGGCCGGCTGCCCGACTTGTTTGGTCCGCTCGTTCAACGAAAACGTGTGGGAGGTCTGTCTGTCATGCACTCACTGACCCCGACTCCCTGAGTTTGTCTGTCTGTGTGATCCTTCCTTGATCGATCCTCCTTTGGCACACAGTCTTTCCACTCACTCACTCAGTCGTCGGCTAGTGGGCGTGCACGAGGCTAGGCGTGTACTCTTTCTCTTCCTGGAGCCTCATGTCTTTCTCTTCCTGGAGCCTCATGCCTTTCTCTTTCTGGAGCCTCATGTCTTTCTCTTTCTGGAGCCTCATGTCTCTCCATTCTGGAGCCTCATGTCTGCCTCACGGGCAGCCTCTGCATAGCAGACAGAAGACACACATCCGTGCATGTGTGTAAGTACCCATCATCAAGTAGGTTAAAATGCAAATGGCGGGGGGGGGGTTCGGCAGGTATTCTTCTGTCTGTCTGTCTGTCTGTCTGTCTCAGAGTCTGACTCACCTCTGTTCGAAATCCAGCTCGGATTTCCAGGGAAAAATTTGGCGGTCGTCGCGATGCCCCACGTCTCAATTGACATGAGGTGACCGGCCTTGAACACGCGGCCCTCAAGGGGATCCTCCCCAGAGGTCCTCTCGACGAACTTCTGTCTCACACGAGACAAGGCAAGGACACGCACAGGATGGGACATGTAGTTGTTGCAAACACATCTGAGTCGCAGTGACTTGCTCCTTCTCACCACGTCCTTGGCGGCCATGCACCAGGTCTCCAGACCGAGCGAGCCGACAGACATCAGATGAGTTGCAGTGTTTGGCCACGTCCTCTGTCTCCTCGCATGTCCCCACTCCCTGGTCATTCTGGTGTAGTGCCATCAGGAAATTGGCCATCCGTATCTGTCGTCCGGAGAGACAGCAGAAGGGCAGATATGAAACGCTCCCGCATCTATCGATTCCTAGCTCACCTCCTTGACGACACAGGTCTGTCTGTAGTATGTGCACCTCTTCGACATCTGGTCCCCGTAGACGCTTGCCTGTGGGTAGACGACACAGAAGGGTCGTAAGGCCATCTTGTGAGACGTCTCACCATGTCTGTAGTTTCTTTGCCGTTGGTGCAGTGTTGGGTGTGGTAGGCTATCATGTCGACTTCGCACGGCTCAGGCTGGCCAGTCCGGAGGCTCTTGCAAGTGGCCAGGCCGACGCAGGAGGCGAGCACCAGGGCCTTAAGCAGAAGGGCCGGCACGACGGATGCCATCTGCAATGACATGCCAAACAGAACAGAGCCATCCCATCTAATTGCCCACTGTAACGGCGTGGCAGTCAACCTCCGGCCGCCTCGTCTCGCTCACCGTCTCGAAAGCCGCAGGCAACTCAAATGGTGAAGGAACGCTTAGTCAGGGACACCCAGAGAGGCTTCCGGGACCGCAGAAATGAAGGCGGTGGGCTCTGCGGCGCTCTCTGGCCTGGTGCGAGGCGTTGTGTCACAAGGCCTCGTGGCAAAGCCCGCAGTCTATTTGCCCCCAGTGGCAGAGAGCCGTGGGCTGCAATGCTCAGACAGCGGAGACTCTGAGGGAAAAGGATTCGGAGAAGCCCTGGGGGGTGGTCTGCGGACAGGAGACGCCCCCGGCCAATTTACGAAACCGAAACATTGGCGTGGTTTTTGCTTTGTGTTACTGATGGCTGGCAGCAGCCCGCTCCGTCGTCTGACCCCATCTCCCTTTCTCCCCTTCTCGGCTCATCCTCCTCTTCCAGTGACGGCCATGACGGCGACATGAAGGACCCCGCGGCCATCGTGCTGCCGCCCATGAGCCTCGTGCAGCTGCGGCAGGTGCTCAAGGACAAGCGCACCAAGCGGCTGCTCGCCAGCCGTCCCCCACCAAAGGCAAAGGCAGCATCCAAGAAACGCTCCCGGCCCGACAAGGCAACGCTGGTGGTGGTGTGTGTGATGGTGAGGGTGAGGGCACGGGAGCGGTGGGTTGGGGGGGAAGCAGCAGGGGCCCATCGCAATCAAAACCATCCAAATAGGTAGATGGGGCACAAAGCGTCACCTTAAGCCATGATGTCGCACATGGACGTCACCATTGCACACAGGAGGTGTTGGGTTGTGAGATTGTCGGATGTGGACGTGGGCCCACTCATTAATAGGTGCACTCACCCATGGCAGCGACGGACAGTTCAGCGCACGCCCCCCCGTGGCTTGAAACTCAAAATAAATACACCAAAACTGGCCTAGAAGAAACAAACTGAGGCTGCGAAACCTCCCGGTGGACATCGCCGATGCCCTGAGTTCCTGGCGACGCAGACACCGCAGTGTCTGTGTCTGTTGTTCTTGTCTGCCTGTCTGCGATGGGCGGTCAAGGCAGGCAGATGGCCGGCAGCCAGGCACAGCAGAGGGAACGAAGCTGGATGGGTACCCAGATGCTGCAGGCACGCATCCCCGCAACAGCATCGATGAGTCGATCAGTCGACCACTTAGTCAGTCAGACACTGAGCACTGACAGACAGCTTGGCAGAAAATGCCCGTCGATTTCGTTTAGCTTGGCAGCATCAAACCCAAGCAAGCAGAGTATGGGCTGGCAGACAGAATAGCTACGCCCCCGGTGCATCGTTGCGTGAGAGGGGACGCACACACACGTGTGCTATAGACAAGTACACATCATTACGTAATGAGACACGGCCCTTAGGCACGTAGAAAATTCGTTGCTGCTGCTTCCCCCCCAATGGGGGGAAGCGGATTGGGGGGGAAGCGGTTCATATCAGACTGTCGATGTCTGTGTGTCTGTTGTAGCAGTGGTGGTGAGAAGCATGAAGGGTGTGTTCATTTTGACTGAGCAGTCATCTGTGTGTCTGCATGCTCGATGGATGAGCGATAGATGGCGCGTCCAATGAAGCACGTCAGCCGCCCAATGTGTGGACAGTCAGCGGGGCCCTCCGTCGATACGAGACACTAGGATGAAGCAGTGCGTCGTGCTTGAGCATTGACCGATCTCATCCCCATGTCCCCCCCTGTGTCTGTCTCTCCTTCCCATCACAAACAAATATCACAATGAAGAAATCACACACACCTCCAGCCCCATCTGCTCTCAAAGCCCCCATGTGCCCTGACGGCTTTGCCTTCCTGGTGCGCACGCGTGTCACTCCGATGTCTCCCCAGGCACTGATTGACCCCCACCCCCCCGCCCCTGTCCCACACATCGATTGGCGTACAGTGACACCCCGTCACGAGCGCAGTTGGCCCGTCACTTGGTCGTCACATGTCACAAATACGCAATTCGCGAGTGAGGATATAGCCCGATTGCCCGAACAGATGCGCTTCCTGTGTCATGGATAAAGCAAGACACACAGACGAGACACACAAACAAAGACACACAGACGAGACTCCCCGCCCCTCTGCGGCACCCACCAACACAGACACACGCTTCCAGTTGTGATGAGCTAGCGATTGGCACACACAGAAACACACACACACACACACACACACACAAGACAGGCAACAAAGGAACAACAAAGTTACAGACAGAGAGCGTCGAAGCGAAAAGGCAGCGGATGCACCAAACATCCACAGACGGACGTCGGGAAACAAACAACAAGACAGAGGGCGAAGAAACAAATCGTGCGTTCACTGTGTGTCAAAGCAACAATCACAACACATGTGGGAACCAACAAAGACACAGCATTCTTCACACACGTGAGGGCGCCAACACAGCGTGTGCCCTCCTTCCGGCAGTCCACTCACGGCGCCATCAGCCCCTCACTTGGGCCCCTCTCCAGCCGAGCCACACGGCCAAGCAGGGCCTTGTTGGCCTCAGTGAGGCCCCGGATCTCGTCGCTCATGGCTTTCATGTTCTTCTCCATCGTCTGCACGAACGACATTTGGGTGAGGAGCAGCTGACTCAGGTCGATTGCCTTCTTGTCGCTCTGCCCCTCAGCAGCCTCGTCTCCACTCGTGGCTGCCATGCTGTCCCCCTCCCCCTCCTCGTCCTCGTCATCCCCCTTGTCTCCCTCGTCATCATCGAAGCTTCGCACCGCCGATGGAAAGAGTTTCTCCACCTCGTTCGGCACCAGAAGGAGCCTCTGGTCTCCGTCAGTGCGGACCTGCAGCTGCTTGAAGGCATCGTGGGCCGCCGAGCGATTGTGTTCCCCCCACTCAGCCATGGCAACGGGCGGCGACTGGTCGGCAAGCTCGAAGCTGGAAGCAATCGCTCATCTCGTGATGGTTTGGCTGCCACAGCTGCACGTCTCCCCCGCAACGATTCTGGTTAATGATTGGATGGTGGAGCTTGCACGGATGGTCCTAACGCGCAGGAGTCTACCGACATTGATATCCCCGGAACGCATTCGGAATGTTCCCCCGTCGCCCACAAGCATTCCTGCGCAAAGCAAGGACAGATCGGGTGTGCAAGTATGGTGGTACCTTGAGGGCTTTCTGTCTGGTAGTCAGCTTACGATCGGCCACAACAAAGTTTTGAACAACGACACTGTTCGTCCTGGCGCTTCGGGGCACCTCCTCGGCCTGGAAGGAGTCGTCGCCGACAACGATATTCCCGCCAGCTCTCATAACCGGAGCTCTCGAACCGGGCTCTGGCTCTCTAAGCTCTATTTCGCTCGCTGAAACGGAAGCAAAAGGCTTGCATCTTCCTTGGTGTTTTTCCATTAGCTTACTTATAATGCTATCGGTAGTAATTTTGTCCCTGACGCTCAATCTACCGCGGACGCGCAGGTTATCACCAACGAACGCACTGTCCCTGACGTTCAGGTCATCGCCGACGAGCAGGTCTCTAGCGACACCTAGATCCCCGGATCCAACCCTACCGTCGAAAGTGCCCACCACCATACCTGCGGGAAGCAAGGATAGCAGAAGTGTGCAGGTGGGTGGCACTATAACGGCTCTCTGTGGCAGTCAGCGCTCACTCTCGGCGAAAATGTCCTTGCAGTCAGGGGTCGTTCCTTCGCGCACATCCGGCTCGCAGTCAGCGCCGGCGTGCGGGAGGGATCCGAGGGCGAGGCAAACAGCGACGATCAGGGAGAAACGCAGAGCGAACAGTTCGCTGTACGCCCAATTGGACTTGTGTAACGACTTGGACTTTTCCGGAAGGACTCCGCCGCTGCACACACACAGACAGGTAAGTCAGCTCTAAAATGCGACCGTGTGATTGTCTGTCTGTCAGGTCCGTCTTTCGTTCGCCTGCCGTCTGATGGGGTGCTTTGTTTGCGGCCAGCCGATGGGAAGGGTGGGTGTTTGTTATCGGCTGGACTAAGGATTTCGACAGAGGGGGTGGTTCTTCATGCTGCCAGCCCACTTATACTCTCATCCTTAGTCATTCCGAGTAAGGGGCACCCACTGCGTGGGCACCCCGGGCCGCAAATTGGGCGGGGATGGAAAGGACCGTGCGAAGTGGTGGTTCAATTCTGCACGACACGGACGCGGGCAGCACAAGTGTTCACGAGAAGTACACCGACGCATGGAACAACGGCGAGAGCGAGAGCTTCAAAAACATGCAAACACGAACGTCGAGAGAGCTTGAAAAACATGCAGATCTTGGAGCCGCAGTGGTGGATAACACGCAGGTACTCAGAGGGGCTGCACTGATTGTGCAGCTGTGTGAGCAGCCACGTCAGATGGTGAAGATCTCATCTTTGATTTGCATGTTTGCCTTGGCGTTCATTCTCAGGTCTTTGTCGAGGGCGTTGCAGAAGGCGTCGACTTTGGCGATGTCGGTGATGATGTACTCGCCAGCGTCGTCCTTG